TGCTGTTAGATTACTATTAAATTCATCGCATGTTTAGGAACTCTAGAGGGCGCTGTTCATGTATCTCTCTGAATTGCATACATAATAATATTATCAAAAGAAAACCCTCCATTACGACCGGACTTCTTTTCTCCGTGTGTTCGAAAATCAAAAACAATTTTAACTTTAGTGAGTTGTGTCGTGTGCAACATTGCATAGAGTGATTCTTCATTTCTATGACGTATAAGTATGTATTAGAAGTATTAAACATACATAATCATCATTATTAGCCTATAAGTAAGTGCTCACTGAGCAAAGGCCTTTTCTTTCGCAGAGAAATTTTGATCATTGATCACCACGCTTACTTAGAAATTATGAGAAAAAGTTTCCTCACGATGTTTTCCTTCACTATTTGTCAGTTGTGTCTAAATAGAAACAAAGTTAGAAAGTACATTTAAGTCAGAAAAAGTCGCGTTGGGACTTACCCTCATACATGAGACGCCGGTGGAAGTGAAAAAGCCATGCCACGACGATACCACAGACTACACAGCACCATTGTTAGTTTTTTACATATTTAGGAGTATTCATAATTCGCAGTCTTCTAACTGAATAATAAGCCTAAGAAAAAGTCACATAGAAGCACTTTATCAACTGTCATTTGTTTAATTAGATCTGTATGAGATGTGCGCAGGGTGTGGGATCCGGGTGTGGGCCACGGCTCGGTCGCGCTCTGGTTGTTCACAGTAACGGCAACCGCGACGCGTACACGCCGCTGCGTGCTCTACTGCATAGTTTATATGATACTGTAGCTGCAATATGACAATATTAGGGAAGACAATGGCGCCCGTAATTACATGTCTGTGCAAAATTTTATAACCAGAGTTTGAGTTTTAGCACTGCCTAGATGGCGTTAATGTCGCGTAAGGTCCTGTACGGCTAGTCAAAATTTTGTAAGTCAATATAGGGATTATACTCAAGGATTTAGCTCGGAGATATAATCATAATAATGGTGATAGCGTTCATAATAATGGTGTGTTCTCAATCTTGGTTCAAAATGTATATAGGGTTTTTTTTTATGTGATAGGACGGCAAACGAGCAGACGGATTACCTGATGGTAAGCAATCGGCGTCGCCCATGGACACCCGCAACAAAAAAGGAGTTACGAGTGCGTTGCCGACCTTTTAAGGATTGGGATTTTGGGGATTTAGGGATTGGGAAGGGATTGGGGTAGGGGAAGGATTGGGCCTCCGGTAACCTTACTCACACGGCGAAACACAACATTGTCGTTGTTTCACGGCGGTTTTCTGTGAGGCCGTGGTATCACTCCGGCCGAGCGCCGAGCCGACCCATTCGTGCCATATAAGATAGCTACGACATAGCTGTCGAACTCATTAGTATCGTAATTAGTTTTCCATTTTGTTTGAGGGTTAAAAATCATCACATGGCTTCTCTCGCCTAGGGTATGATGAGAGGGAGTGTCAGACTCTTGCTGACTAAAATTCCCCGTCCCGCTCCGTCCCATCTCCTGTTCTCCGAGACTGCGGTAGCTTATTAATCTTGACCCGCAAACTTGGCTAAACATCGTAACAATCCTCATTACAAATAATTATTAAACAGTAGCTAGATATAAAACGCAGTAGAAATCTCTCAAATTATAATCAGTAAGTAAAAACAAGACAAAAAGTCTGTCCGGCAGCGACCGCACACCGCATGAAAGTGCAATTTAGTGTCGGCGCGTGTCGCGGCAAAAAATGTGTGTCGCAGTCACAATATAATAACGCGGAGTGATGGAATGAAAGGGAACCATTAATGGCCGCCACGGGGCAGACGCACCGAGACACTGATGAAAGTGATCTGTAGTGGGCAAGTCTTGCACTGATGCGATGGTTAAAGTTACATTTTCTTTTTTACCTCATAGGTTGGCAAATGAGCGATGATGGTAAGCAATCGGCGCAGCCCATGGACACTCGTGATACTAAAGGAGTTACTACAAGGGCCTCTTGTGGGCTATAAGGGATTTAAGGATAAGGGACTTGACGATTTAGGAAGGCGAGGATTGGCGAGGATCTGGAAGCCTCATTCATACGGCGAAACACAATCCAAGTGTTGCTTCTCGCCGTTTTTCTGTGAGGCCGTGGTATCACTCCGGTCGAGCCGACCCATTCCTGCCGAAGCTTGGCTCTCCCACTCTTGAAGTTATATACTTTAGACACAACTTTACAATAATTTTAGATAGACTTTATTCCGAGTAAGTAAGCTTGTTTTTTATTTATTTATTTATTATTTAGGAAACAAACAGTATTTTACTTGCTCATGGATAAATCTTCTTCTTGGGCCAAGCTAGTAAGTCTTACATGACTTCAATTACAATAGGCATTTAAGTTGTGAGCCTAGGTAGTTCTTTTCATAATGGGCCATCATTGAACACAAAATTGTTGACAGTAGCGTCGTTTCCAAATAAAATTTAGTTTTATCAAAATTTAAAAGAAAAACAAATTGGACGCCGATTTTTTTAGCTCGAATAACCTTTATTCTCTTGAATTATTAAAAAAAACATCGAACAATGTAAGAATGAAGTTTCGAGCATTTTTAAGTAATTCTATGTCCTTAAACCTGTCCCTATACAACGTTACGCCGTTGTGGATCACACAAATAGTCGTTCCGTGCGGCAATCGAACCCGCAACACGTTGCGCGGCAGCTGAGCCAATCATGCAGTCACAAATGAGTAATCTGCTGCGTAGATTTTGTCCTACGGTATAATTTTCACAATATTTTTGGTTCAATTTAACAGGATATTAGTATTGCGTTCATATTGTACTGCAGCCTCCTTAACCAACTGCTTGTACCACTAGTAAATAGGTTCTGATGTAACTCACGTACACTTAGTTGCCCAACCAACGTTAATAACACGCACCCAAAGGAAACAAGCCTTATTTACACAAAAAAGACTCCTCTGCTCCAGTAAATAAGAGCCAAGATACATTACCTACTGGTACAATTATAATTTGAGGTTTTTGCTACTGTTCGCCTAAAAGATGACACAAATATCCAAATGCGGGTGTGCGAAATTGAACCTTATTTACAAGTGGAGAGAGATGATAGGATGTGGACGATGATAATGATGTGGTGGCAGTAACCGCGGGTGAGTGCGTGTGACAGTTACGAGGAGCAGGTGTCGCAAGCGCCATCTTTACAGTTAGCTGAGTATGTAGGCCCCGGGCCAGCGCCGCCAGCGACACCCTACTGATTTCAAACTACATATTTGACGTCGTCAAGCAACGCATGATGCACGACGCATAGGTCGGCCAAAGAGTAGCCGGATTACCTGGTGGCAAGCATCCGGCGTGGTGGTGCCGCCCATGCACACTCCTAAGGACCAAATGTATTAGAAGACTACAAGTGCGTTGCCGGCCTTTTGTGGGTTATCAGGAAAGGGGATTTGGGGATTAAAGTGGTTTATTATTGATTAAGAGTGTGGTTTCCTGCCGGTTTTCTCTTCTTGATTCAATTTGAAGCTGGCTCCTTTTTGCCTTACTTCATCATCATTAGCCTGATTCCGTCCACTGCTGGACACAGGCCGCCCCAATCGCAAGCCACTCATCCTATCACTGCCAGCCACCCTGCGGATATCGTCATTCCACCTAGCTGGAGGGCGCCCTTCATTACGTTTGCCTAGACGTGGTCTCCTCTTTAGAACACGTTTATCCCAACGGTCATCGGATATTCCACAAATATAACCTGCCCACTGCTGCTTCATTTTGTTAATCCTTTGGGCTATGTCGATAACTTTAGTTCTCTGTCGGATCACCTCGTTTCGAATACGATCCTTCAGAGAGACTCCAGGCATAGCCGTGGCTCTAAATTGGTGGATTAGACGCACTGTAAGTGTCCACGTCTCGGCTCCGTATGTCATCACTGGTAGGACGCACTCATTGAAGACTTTTGTCTTCAGGCTTTGCGGTGTCTTTGACAAGAATACCCGACCGAGTTTCCTATATGGCAAGCTGTATCCTTCTACGAGCCGCCTCATTACTACCTACTTACATACATACCAACTACCTCATCAGTAAGTACCTTTTTTTGTGAGGTTAAAATCATCAAATGACTTCTCCCGCCCAGGGTGGGGCGGGAGGGAGTGTCAGACTCTTACTAACTAAAAACCCCCCTGTTCCTAATCCTGCTCTGTGCCGAGGTCGCGGTGCCTCATTGCGCTTACCCCGCAACCCCGGCTGAACATCAGCACTATGGGACCCGTCTGTGGTAGTCTATTGGCTCTTCAATACCTAATAATTCACGTTTTATTGTAAGTAGATAGTTATACATAAGAAGTAGTCGATTACAAATTAGTGAACAAGTAGACATACTATTTTTGAGCTTGTCAATGACACAATCAACCTAGCTAAACATAAGCTACATATTACTTTGGATAACTAGGTTAACAAACAGAATCAAATTAATTTGACACCTTTACCGAAAACAGTGATGACAGAATAATGGCAGCGCGCAAATAATAAATAACAAAATTGCGATGATTTTCCACTTTCCAGTAATTTCGTTGTAATAATAGATGATTAGGTAATTATTGGTTTTGTTCAGTTGTTCAGTATATAGGTAATTTAATAACAAACAATTACCTATATTATATTTCTATACTTATGTATACTTACTGCTACTTCTGCTCGAACTAGGTGTTTTTCTGTGTCATAAGTGCGTTTACAAATATACGATTTCATTGACAGTTTGTTTCAACGCACTAATATCCGGAACTTCTGGTTCGAATTGAACAATTATTTTTGTGTTTGCTAGCCCATTTATCGAGGATAGCTATATGCTATAAAATATCACGTTACGATCTGTTGGAGCCAGCAGCGGGTGAAACTTTGTAAGAGTAGCTAGAGAGATATAGGCGTCAAGGAAATCAATTACTGTCAATAGCAAACATTCTCAACGGATTAGAAACATTTCTTTAAATTGTGTTAAAAAATCTGGTAGGTACCTAACACACGTGAAGCAGTAAGTATGCAGTACAGGATCAGCAGTGAGCGCGAGTGTTGGCTCAGTGGGCAGTGCACCGCGCGGTATGCGGGTCACGGTAACGGTGTGCCTCACTCGCTGGCTCCCTGCGCACGCGCCGCCGTGCGCCTCAACTGGAGCGCGGAGTCGCGACCCACTGCCCACTGCATGACTTATTTTGTGATCGTATGAACTATGGAACTCCTCATAACGTGTCATACAACACTAAGCGAGAACATTGTCCAAACATAAGGTGCTACTACTAGTGAGCTTTACTAGCCTATACCTAGGGCAGGAGTAAAGGCGCGCCTCAAATTACCAATAGACCACCACAGATGGGCCCAACTGGCCCAATGTTTAGCCGAGGTTGCGGGACCTCGGCCTAGAGCAGGAAAAAGTACAGGAGCTTTTAGCACAGACGTATATTTGGTTTTTAGTCAGTAAGAGTCTGACACTTCCTCTCGCCGCACCCTGGCCGAGAGAAGACAATAATATGATGATATTTCCTTCTCAAAAAAAGAGTCTAATACTCCCACACGCCCCGAGATGTTATTCTACTTATTTTTTCCTTAGACAAAAAGGTTTTATATCTGTATAGTAGTAATACTGGCAGCCTGCTTAACACCATGTCTTCATAATGTTTCACATAACGTTGGTCTTACTCGAACCACAACGTAGCCGTCGATAGAGAACTCTTCAATTCTGATTTCTGGAAATGTTAAACGTCGTCCATGCTGGAGAAAATGACAAGAAATTACATTTATATTTAATTAGTTTGTGCCTCTTTCATGTATAATTAAAACATTAATCCAGTTAGCGTATTTATAACGATATTATCATACATATTAAGGTTTATATATAACGGTGGTTCTGGCCGACCTGCCGCCTGTAGGGACATTCACCCTGCGCGCCATCTAGAGGATGAAAGTGGAACACTGCGCACAGACTATTAATGTTAGGTGGATGAGATAAACAGACAGATTGGACTCAATTCAAGGAAATTGAATCAATCTGTATGTGTTTAAGTCTAAGACACTTGTTTGTGTATTTTCGACAAAAATGTATTTTTAACCGACTTCAAAAAAAGGAGGAGGTTCTCAATTCGATTGTATTTTTTTTTTTTTTTTTTATTTTTTTTTTATTTTTTTTTTTATGTTTGTTACCTCAGAACTCCGTCGTTTATGGACGGATTTGCAAAATTTTTTTTATGATTGAAAGGATATGCTTCCAGATTGGTCCCATTCTTTTCAAAATCAAGTTTTGATGATGGGATCCATGAGAAATCGAGGGAACTCCTCAAATATTATAGGCAACTATATAGTAATTTTAATATTTTCATAGAGCACTCAAGCATTTACAGTCAAAAAGTAATGTTTGATGAGGTGGAACTGGTGAAGAAGATCAGAAATGGATGATGAAACTTGACACTCGCATAGATATCACAATCAAGGTAGTTCAGCAACTATGAAAATGCACTGTAAACCAATGATCTTAAATAATTATGTTGGAAATGTTATCATCGAACTGATTTAATGATGATTATGGAGCTGGAAGGTAGGCACTGGAACTGCGTACCTAATTAATATATCCTAGCCGTGTTTGGGCTTGTTAGAATTGTTATAAGATGCACTTTGGCTGTAAGGTACTATTGAACTGATGTGATGATGAAGCTGGAAGGTTGGCATGGGGCCTAGTATTGTGTAAGCTTATTAGAGCTGTCAAGAGCAATGGAAAGGGCTATGCTCATAGTTTCCGTGCATGTTCGAATCAGAAATGAAGAAATCCGCAGAAGAACCAGCGTCACCGACATAGCCCGAAGAAATGCCAAACTTAAGTGACAGTGGGCACGGCACATTGCTCGTAGAACAGATGGCCGATGGGGCCGAAAGGTTCTAGAGCGGGACCGCACACCTTTGGGGGCGGAGTTTGGCCTAGTATTGGCTATTTTGCATTAGTCCACGTGGACTGCGTTTACACATTAGTGGTGAAATGCGTCATTGTGTTCTTATCGTTTTCCTGGTAATAGGCTAAGAGAATTAATTGGCATTTTTAACAAAACAGTCGTTTTAAATGGGTTACAAAACAATAATTGCGTCGTACAAAACAATAATTGTGTTTCTTTTGTGTGCACATATGTAGATAATACTTACTTAAAAAAGGTTCATACATTGAATGAGTCATAAATGTATATTTACAATAGCGATGGTCTTTTATATTTTTACCAACTTGTCTATATATGAATGTTCTTAGTAATAACAAAATAGTATTCTTCATTTAATGGGTTACAATTGATACAAAACAATAATTGCATCGGTCTTTTTTCTATGTACGAATGTATTTAATCATAGATACTAAATTAGATCTTGATGATGATGATAGATGGTATCTTTGAACTTTATCTGTCTGTTGATGAAAATATCTAGTTTTTTGTTATTTGGCGAGAACTAATATGAATTTATGATAAGATTATTATTTTATTTTAACTATAAGTCATAAGTATCTCATGCATCATATCATCTCTCCTCGAGATCAAAACGATTACACAGTAACAATGTACTATGATATGTATTTCTACGTATAAGTATGACATTGGTAACTTTTTCAAAAGAAATGTAGGAACGATATTGACTTCTTTGCCATAACACATTATAATAAAAAAAAAAAAAACACTAAACGGCTACAAATAAAAAAAAATTTTACAAAATAAAAAAACCGCCTTCAAAAAAAGTCAAGCAATAAAAGTTCCTACACTAAAAAGTAAAAAATAACAATTTGAATTACTGTAAAAAACTTAATTTATAGGTAAACTTATTTGACATTAATATTTTGCAAATATTCAAAATTTATTACTTATTTTTGGAGTCGGTGCCAGCCCATGCAAGGAAATACAAATGGGCAACAATCCCTTGAAAAACTACCTCTTACTTAATTATAAAACTACTTAATACCTATTTGCATACTCAAATATAGGTATATTAATTAAGACATAAATACAGATTAGACTTCTCTACAAAAAATGTCCGATTTGCACATTTTTTTAAATAAAAAATATGTACTTACAAAAACATTTTAAGTACATTGAAAATGTTTAAGCATTATGTACGAAAAATGGCACCGGATATTAAAAACCTAACTAACATTAAGTTTCAACATCAAAATGCTGGCACCGACTCCAAAAATAAGTAATAAATTTTGAATATTTGCAAAATATTAATGTCAAATAAGTTTACCTATAAATTAAGTTTTTTTACAGTAATTCAAATTGTTATTTTTTACTTTTTAGTGTAGGAACTTTTATTGCTTGACTTTTTTTGAAGGCGGTTTTTTTATTTTGTAAAATTTTTTTTTGTTATGAAATAAACAACTTCATACTTGAATGTGTACGGACCTAGAATTTGCTATACTTACCTAAGTTTGACTGACTAACCATTGTATTATTATCAACAAGTTACCGTCGTGCGGTTCCACCCGCTGCTTGGATCCTATTTGTTGTAGGGCGATGTTTTATAGCTTATAACACACACAGGAACATTTTAGCTATTGATAAGTGAAAGAATTTTGGTAATCTAACCAGCTGTTCCCAAGAACACCTCCTACATACAAACTAACTTACCTCTTTTTAATATTAGTGTAGACAAAAATGACAGTGAATTTGATTTTTTTAATTGAAAGAAATGAAAAAGAGTGGGAAAGCCATTCTTTGGCACGAACGGGTCGGCTTGACCGGTGTGATAACAAAGCCTCACAGAAAACCGGCGTGAAACAACCACAGCGTTGTGTTTCGCCGTTTGAGTGAGGTTACCGGATGCCCAATCCTTCCCCAATCCCTATACCTCCAAATTCCTTAATCCCCAAAAGGTTGGCAACGCACTCGTAACTCCTCTGTTACGGGTGTCCATAGGCGGCGCTGATTGCTTACCATCAGGTAATCCGTCTGCTCGTTTGCCGGTCTATTTGACATACGAAAAAAAAACTGAGCGGTATCTTTACTTTGTTACAAAGAACAGTGATATATCACCTAAATATGTAGGTACCACCACACCTTATCTTAGAATCTAATCGACGTATTCGTAACCTCCTTACATTAACCAGTTGGACCTGAATACCTGCCAATAACTATATGTATTAGGTACATTTGTATCACTTTACCTGATACCTGTACTAAGTGTTTAGTATCTCACATACCTGCCTAGTATTGGTAGCAGTACTCTACACACACACACAGCCGAAATACTTGTAACATTATTATTGTTAACGGCTGCTGTCACGGCTACAGCTAGCCTAATTTGTCCATACGGTACTTCTAGTTTTCATAATTATATTGTTTTCCTAAATAACACTAAGTATATTGGTGTGGTATTGTCGACGTGTGACGGTACCGGTGGGAACTAGCAATGGCCTGACATACCGTCACACGTCATGGACGGCAGCCGCGGCCCCGTTAGCGGCGCGTGGCGTGACGCGCGCGCATCTATTACGATAATGTGCACTGCGCCTGCGCATACACGTTTCCCACGACACCTGCGCGCGTACACTGCAATTACTGCTTTATCATCTATCGATAATTACACTGGATTATGTGTCAATAAAAACTTACCGGTTAAAGCACGATGGTGTTTCTTATTAATTAAGTATGCATTTGGTGCACTTATCTTTGTCTAATTAACAATGTCATCCATAAAAAAATATTTCCTGCTACTGCTAAAATTTAGGCCTTTCCCTCAGTTCTCTATCGAATCAGAACAAGTCATTGGCCTACCGATCCGCAGACAGAGTGACGACTCTAAGACTATGTAACCCCTAACTAACATCGGGTCTAATTCTTTGAAACGATGTGACCTGCCTGCTTCTAGTACTTTAGAATGATCTTTCGTTCTACATTCAATATACGTTCGATTATTTAAAAGACGGTTGCCCGCTTTCCAGATGTTATGTATGAGCTCGCGGCTGGCGCTGCCGGAGCCGACACAGTCCCCGACGGAGCCGGCGTCGGAGCCCCGCGAGCGGGACGACGCACTCGCCGACTCGGAGGAGCCGCCAGAGGGATACTACGCGTTTGTTGAGTCACCAAATGCCACACCGCCACGGTAAGAACCACCTCAACTTGGATTCTTTAAGTCTCTACAAAATTGGCCAGCTGCTTTTTTATCTAGTAAACACATGAATTAGTGGGGCCCTGGTCTGAAACAGTTCAAGGGATTGGCCCCTAAATTAATCAACTAATGTTATTTGACACAAAACTTGTTGCCTCCAAAAATATCTAAACCAGATCCCTGTTTTTTACCAATATACAATCTAAGCTACTTTATTTTATTGAATAAATTCCTTACTACAGTCCAAAAACCTTTGAGGTAAATCCCCACCTGAGTACCTAAAAATGTGCTTGATCTATAATTAATAGGTAGGTAGATACTATTATCGAAATTAATAGTCAGTAAGCGCTGACAGAAGCTAATAATACTTACATATAGTATACTTACACGATCATTTATGTACATATAAACAATAAATGTAGTACCTAAGTGTAAGTATTCCTTGCAAGGCGTGTCGTCCTGAATGCAACCTCAATGACTCATGTAGGCCGAATGCGGTACATCGCAGTGTGTAGGCCGATGAAAGCTGCCGTTAGTGCAAACTAGTCTCACCTAATTAATACATTAGTCTAGTATGGAATTATCACATTATTTAAGTACTTTTAAGCAATGACATTCGAGTAGATACAAAATAAGTAGGTAAATGTTACCTACGTCCTACAGTTATTTATCACAAAACGTTAAGAATAAAAGAATAAAATGCCTCAAGCATGCCCGTTACTTGCGTACATTTCAAAGAGTGCAGAAATTAAACATAATGAAACCTCCTTGACTGCAAAGGTGTGCAGATTGAAACGTCAAAGCTGTGATCGGAATTAGTAAAGTAAAAAAAGGAAGTTTATGGTCTTTTGGCGGGAAAGGAAAAACAAATGACAGTCTTCTTATCCGGACTTCGCCGCTTCGTCGCGTTTCTTGTAGTTTATTAATGAAGTGTTATCTTGTGTAGCTTAATTCGAGATTGATGGTAATTTCAATTACCTAAGTGTGACATTATGATAAGTTATGGATTAAACTTCAATGAACACACTTCCATTCCTTCTAAATATAGGTATTTATACATATACTAACTTAATTATAAGCATGTATTGTTCACAGAGTGCGCCCTCCTCCGTACCGACAAGTGACGTCATCGTGTCCCGAGGTAGAGTCGAACAAGCCGCACGTGTCGGCCAACAACCTGTGCGGGGACCTCAACCGCGGCCTCATTCCCCGGAACCCCATGGGGCAGAACCCCAACGGGGAGCCCTACCCCTTGTGAGTGATCCTTACATGTATCTGTCTACTAATAATCCGAACATTCATGGGGATTTCTAGGATATCTTCAAGGCCCGCATGAATAGATTACTTATGGTGGTTGTTTCTGCGATTATAAGATGTCAAACGCAGGTTTGTTACATAAAAGGTACCTATGTGTAATACATTAGTGTCGACTAAAATAGCTAGCTAATCTTCTGGGTGGGAGAAGTCATTTGATGATTTCCCCCTCACAAAAAAGGTCTCTTACTAAAAACCTTTTGTAAAGGGTAGATATGTATAAGACAATTCGTTGGAGTCTCTTAAAACCAAATAATAAACGGGCTGTGTTGCTCTGAAATATCAAAGAAACGACATTTAAAGTTTATTAACAGGTTTGTCGATTCCTCTTTTACTGAATTACATATTATTATAATATTTAAACCTCCTCTGTTTTAAGAGTAATGACACTGACAATTATAATGTCAGTGGCGCCATCTATACAAAACCAAGTGTAAACTTGAACTGTTTTATCTACACACCATGGACTACACACAAATACTTTAAATAATTTTTTTTTTATATATATATGTACAGAAGTTGTTTAAATGTTATGTCGTCTTATAGTTTTAGGTTAAATTTTAGTGTCTATATTGTGTGTTGTCGCCAGCGAGTTGATCCGCAACGAGACGCTCCGCTTCCTGTCCCGCACGCTGCCCGTGCTGCGCGCCGACGACACGCTGCCCCGCGTCGCGCATCTACCGCACGGCCCCGCGCCCGGCCCCGGACCCGGCCCCAGCCCCGGCCCCGCCGCCCCCAGCCCCGCGCCCGACGCCCACGCCGTGCCCGACCTGCAGCACAACCGGTACATGCTCCTGATACTAATTTGCTGCATCGATTTCAATACCTTACTGATAGTGCCATCTAGCGGTATAGTTGCGCTAAACAATCTGAAGATTCATGTTTTGCAGATTTATAAATAGGAATTGGTAAGCAATCAGCGCCGCCCATGGACTTTTTGGAGATTCGGGATTTGAATATTTTGATATTTGGAGAATTAAAATTAGGTTACTGGAGAGCCTAATCCTTCCCGATTAGGCCCTCCAGTAACCAAATTCACACGGCGAAACACAACGCTGTATCTGTTTTACTTCGATTTTCTTTGAGGGCGTTGTATCACACCGGTCGAGCCGATACATTCGTCCTATATATGATGGTTATAATTTAAATTATCTGTGTTAATTATGTTACGAGTCTTGTTGCAGCAACATTAGATATTAGTAATCAAATACATATCTATTAAGTTATATAGAATACTGGCAACACCAAAGTAAAGGTGAGAAAATAAAAGCGAAGATAATCTCCAAGGAGACAGGTTCTGTGGACAACGAAAGTGTATCTTGATGTAATTGTATAATAAACGCGAATACGCTGCGTAGGTTGGAGGAGCGCAGCAAGAGGTCGGCGGAGGAAGAGGTCCCGACACAGTCACTCCGCGCCGAGCACCGCGCGGCCGACGCGCGCGACTCGCGCAAGTTCTGCGACAACGGAGGCGTGTGAGTACTCTCTACTTACCCGACAGGGCCACAACTCATATGGCAGGTCTGATGGTCTGATGGTAAGCAATCTCTGCAACACCCGAGTTCAAGTCCATTCAAGATTGGGTGCAAGGAGGATTGTGGTTTTCGATAACTTCATTCACATGGCAACACATAATGCAAGCGTTATTTCACGCCGATTTTCTGTAAGGCCGTGGTATCGCATCAATCAAGCCGGCCCTGTCGTGCCAAAGCATGGCTCTCCCAAGTGAATACCTGGCATAGACACGTGTTATCCACTCTACTCGCGGCAATATTAAATAAAAAAATATTCAAATTAATTCACCACTTTGTATTTTTTGTTTAAAATTACTCGTATGATATTTATCAGTCAAAGATCAGCTTGAAACAAAATAAAACGCAGACATGAAATGATCAAAATTTATTGAAACTAAATTAGTTAACAATACTTATAGTACATTGCGCGGGAATTCACAACATCGTCTACTGAAGCCGTTTTCCCACGCTCGGCGTTATACAACGCTCACTTAACTACATGATTATAAAATAAAAAGAACGACACTGCAGCTCGTGTAGATACGCCCTAATATAATATTATTTGATACAACTCTGAATATAAACATTTTATAGACCGATTATGACGGCAACACTTGGCATATACTTGTCTCGCTCAGAAGCATGTGCCTGATATAGCGCTGTCTCACTCGTCACGTTACTGTGTAAGGCGACTTGCGGTGTATCGTGTAAATTGCGTACAAAAATACATTGGCGTCGTGATATTTCATTCACTTTTTATATGTGTGTACTAAATATACATGCAAACTATACAGTGTGTGTAATTAATTTTACACCTTGTGCTAGTGCAATACGTTTTGGATTTGCTTGGCCGCAGGGAGCTTAACTACATATGGTAGCGAAGCATCTTGGTACATCGAGATATAGCCTGCATCAGTGTGAGGTAGCCACGTAGTCTGTTAACATCGTTTATAAATAAATATGTTTGCTTACTCCACACCTAGTATATGTATCTGTAACAGCGCTATGTGGCGAGACGTCGGATGTCCTCCATGACGGACTCGTGCACATTGACGTCCGTGCCGTCCAGGAACTTGACCCGTTGGTCTTTCTCCACCTGCAAGCACAAACAGCTGGATTGTCATACTCTGTATGAGGAGTGGCATAGGGTTTTGTTAGATATGAAGTAAATAGTTAAAGACATTCAGTGCCACCGACTCGCCCAGAGTGTCTAAGTAAATGTTATTCCAGCGCCGTGGACTCGCCCGGCGAGTTCTAGTAGTTTTACTGGCATTGACGCGACGTTAACGCCGCTTCGTCGCGTGGCAACCATAGTGATCTTAAATGTACAAGAAATCGTAGTGGTATTGAGGGTATTAGCACGGTACCTCCGCCCTGTACTTGATGTGCTCGGGCCAGACGCAGAGCTCGAAGTATCCGGGCACGTCGGGCGGGTCGTACAGGCGGTACAGTCGGCGGCGGAGGCACTCCTCGTACTCCAGCACGAAGTAGTAGCGCAGGTCGCACAGCTCCATGATGGCCGGGTAGTTGAGCACCGTCAGTCCCTCCAAGATCAGGAACTGCTTGCCCGGCAGAGAGAACGGCTCGGCCGGCGCCTGCAGGGACAGCGCGGAGGGCACCTCGTTGGGGACGCGCGCGTCGTCCTCCTTGAGGTCCCCGCGCAGGATGGCGGCGACGTCGGCCATCATGCGGTCCATGTCGAGCGCGGCGAGGATGTCGTAGTTGTTGTGGCGCAGCTCGGGGATGTAGACGTGTCGCGGCGAGTCGTCGGCCAGGAAGTACGCGTCCTGGTGCACCACCCGCGCCGGTCGCAGCGCGCCGCGCAGTCTGCGCGCCAGCGACGTCTTGCCGCCGCATGTCACGCCGCCGATACCTAAGCCCATACATACATTGCGACATACTCTATTTTTTTTAATCCCCCTCCCCTTCACCCCTATATGGCTTCGATTAGCCGAGATTCGAAACCCACAAAGATGCTCTCAGGGATGCGGTCCTTTAGTTTAGTGGATTCTGTTGCCCCGAGGCAACCGCCGGGATAATTGGGGTTAAGTCAGCTATAACGTGCAGAACTACTAGTGGTCCCAAAAAAAGAGTTTAACATCTCTGATGTTTAAGTCAGTAAAAGCCCCATCCAAAGTGGCAAGTCTCGAATAAAGAAACGATCATCTATTGATAGCGACATAGATTAAAGCGAAAACCCAGTTAGTTTGTAAATAATAGTATTGCACAAACCTATGACGACCCAGTTGCTGCGCTGGAGGGCCATGTTACGGGTCAGAGATACGGGCGCAGATGGTACAGCGTGAAACACATGAGTCCCCCCACAAAGACGACGCCCCAAGCCCCACACAAGGCGAGCAGCCACTGTGGGTCCGGGACCACGCGCCACAACCACGACTCTGGAACATTACATTCACGCTTAGTACGCCATGCCCACGCATAATTTGCTACAGTCATCATCATCAGCCTATAAGTGCCCATTGCTAAGCAAAGGCCTCTTCCCACACAGAGAAGGTTTGAGCATTAATCACCACGCTTGCTCAAGGCAGATTTCAAACTTCATCATTAGAAATTGTAAGTCCAGGTTTCCTTACGATGTTTTCCTTCACCGTATGTCAGTGGCGTCAAAATAATCATAGAAAGAACATATACAATAACTTTTCTACAGTAATTGACGATAAATATTTTATATCAACAAAAATGTAACTCAAACAAATGAAATTCCTAGATGAAATACGCAAATTTACAAAGCCTGGTGTGTAATATTTACCGCTGGTGTACATAGTACATGTTTATAGACTCACCTTCGTCAATGAATGGGTATGAGTTGACCCACAAACAGAGCACAACAAACACAGCACTGGTTGTCACCAGGACCAGCTTGCCAATCACCGCATCAGGAATGTCCATATATACGCATCACTTTAATATACGAATATCGATGTCACGCAACAACCAATACAGCATAGATTAGTCTGCTCAAGGTAATGTTGTGTTTAGCTGCAGAACAGTTCTTTCTCGAAATCCTCGAAGGTCTCTCCCTCAGGGAACAGTATGGACTTCTCTTCTTCTTGTTTTACTTCTTCTTTGTCTGCGAGCGGTTTGCGGCGGATGGCGCGCTCCACGATCTGTTAACACAAATACAATCACTGAACATCTTTTCTCAGTCCATATAATGTAACCAGGACTGTTACAAAACTGCCAACATCTGTAGTTTACCAAATATGACATACATACTAGTATTGTTTGGCATTGTCTTTATACATCAACTATACATAGAATTAAGTAAATAACATTAGTAGTACAATATATTATTAGTCAATTCAAACACTGTACAATTTTTTTTTAATTGAAAGCAGTTTGATTGGAATTCCTGAAACTTGATGAGGAAAATATTATTGTTACAGCAAGAACTAAATTCTGGTAAACAATCAATATGTATTGTAAACACAGTCATTATCAAACTGAAAGTTAATCATTTATTTCAATAATACTATTAAAGCCACTTTTGAATATCAATCACAGATTTATAGGTAAAAGTGTAAGTCTGTTGGCCAGTCCTCTAGTAAAGCTTTTTGCTTATTCCAAAGTGTAGATTCATATGGAGAAGAACTAGCAAGAAACTTAATGATTAGTAATTTTCAATCAGTTTGAATTGTGTATGTTACTAGATAGGCAATGACTTGACAATATGTTATAAGATAAACAACATAAATGTAATAAAATAAATATGTTATCTAAAGTGTAGCCCAAACAGCACAAATTGTGAACATCTCCAATGTCACGCTCCAGTTGTGTAAACACGGCTTCATGTTACATCATTATACTCTGTGTAACATAGACAGGTTCTTAAAAACATTTCCTTCTACTCCGTATTAGAACACTCTACTAAAAATATTTTAATATTCATGAAAACTAATATTAGACTTGTTGAATATTAATTGCTCAGTGAAAATGTTACTGAACATGCACAATACAATATTAAAGTTTTGTGTTCAACAGATGGTGTGTGAGGTTGTTGTCCTCCTGCAGGCCATTGATACTTCATAACTTACAATAGGAACACTCTTATATATTTATAGGCCAACTAATAATAGCTACACTCACACACTTACATCTTGTCAGCTTTACACATTCAACAAAAGCACACATTGACTGTATTTATGTGTTGCTATCTAATCAACAGTGATGCATCACTTGAGAACATGGTGTGGCACATACTGCATGACTGTATACTGCCACTTCTGCTTGCACAGCTCATACTGCTGAACTTGTAGTTAGAGAATGTTCTAGCAATTTATATATGATAATATGTGCAAAGTACACATACCTTGTCAGCCAGGCTAGTGTCTGCGGCGCGCGTCGACAGCTTCAGCAGCTTGTCAATGTTCTCCGCGGACAACTGCTCCTTGGATTTGACTGGCTCCCTCGCCTTCTTAGTCTTACTCTTGTACAAGTGCCTGTGATCTGCAACACAACCTCTGTCCGTTACCTCGCAGAGCTAAGGTCCGAATAATTACGTCGCTCTCTATTATGTAAGCGCGACACCGTATAAGTAATAAAATGACAATAAAACCGGCGTGTCTAATCGCAGCAATAACGGCAATAAAGACGCAAGCGTCGACGAGTGCTGTGACGTAATGACGATACGAATATCAAGAGTAATTTCAACGTTTCTACCAACCTTGACCCCCGTGTCGCGGCCGCGTTTTACGAGAACCGCGCTTCGCCTCGCCGCTGTCTACAATAACCAAATAACAACTTCGTAATTAATTCAAATTCATTTCAAGTAAAATGACACTATCTTCGTATTTGTTACATATTCACCTTCTTGGTCGACGAGTTCCAGAGCCTGTCGCACTAATGCAGAAGACATTTTAGTACAACAATGCGTAGAGAAAACATTTATGGGCAATTTACACAAAAACACAATCCTAACCTACAAAACAAATAACTAGGAAACGTCAACTCAACGTGCCAGATGATTAAACGTCAACTGTCAAGTAATTACAGATAATATTACGCCAACGTCGAGTACGTTTCGTTATCCGAATAGCATTTCGCCATTATCTAAATTATAAAGATAGGAAATTAAACTAAACCGAATATATATAATCAAATATGTATTATAAGTTTTAAAAATAAATAAAATTATATATAAGTAATTTAATACAACTACTTTTTATTTTTTAGGTTCTGTATGCTATACCGGGCGATTAACGGTGATAGCGATTCAAGTACTGGCGTCGAACGTCGCGAGGATCCTGGACCACAGCCTCACGGCGCTGGAGCTCCTCACGGACCACACCATAGATATGAGGTAAGCAGGGATACATAACAATATAATTGGGTAGTTTCCGAGGTCAAAAATAAATTACCTATTTAGAGTTTTCTGTAGTCAATTGTTAAAATACTACCATAATTGCTACTTCAATTAATTTATTGGTATAGTTAAAATGTAATACTTTCCAAGCTAATATTATAGATAAAAGTATGCTATTTGACGTAAAATCATTATGATGGTCATAGAAAAGTATTTGTTTAGTATTGATTTTGACTGGTTTGGCAACTATCGAAGTATGAAGTAGGTAGGTAGTTAGCCAGGCAAGACTCGCAGCAGTAAGTAACCGGTCCCCTTCCTCCCGCAGGGCCCCCCGACGCCGTGTCCGGCGCGCGTGGAGTACGCGACGCCAGTGTTTGCTCGCAACTACCAGGGCGTCTGGCGGTACGTCGTGCAGATACCCTACGAGGGATACTTCACGCAGACTGTCGAGGTCACCAGGTAACGTAGACACACTATACCAGTATAGAGCTGGGTGTATGGTACCCGCGCGGGCCGTGAACTAAGTATGTCGTTGTCCAGATGCCTGCAGTCGCGCTGCCACTACCTGGACGGAGGCTGCCTGAGCTCGCCGCGCTGGGTCTCGCTACTCGTCGCCGAGCTACACTACCCGCCCGCGCAGACTAACAGCCAGGTAATACATTTTTGTTTCAATTATTCCGAAGTTTTTAAAAAAAAATAGATACTTACTTTTAATTTAATAGTACAGCAGACAAACACATGGATCACAAGAAATTACGAATGCATTGCCGACTTTTTAAGGTTGAGGATTTAGGGATTGGGTAAAGGGGAAGGGGTGTTTTGAGATTCTTGCCATAGTAACCACACACTAGGTCATTTACTACAGACGGGGCCCTATATGGCTGATGTTCAGCCGGGGTTGCGGGGTTAGTGCAATGAGGCACCGCGACCTCTGCCCAGAGCAGGGGGAGGAACAGGGGGGTTTTTATTCATTAAGAGTCTGAAACTTCCTCCCGCCCGGCCCTGGGCGGGAGGGAGTCATTTGATGATTGTCCCCTCACAAAAAAAAACACCAAGTCATTTGAATATATCTGCTAACTAGACCTCGTTTTGCAACACCTAACATCCAGTTATAAATCATGGCTCTGCGGACGGCGAGTAACTATAGCTCGCCGGCCGACCAGAACCAGACTCGAGCGTACGGCGGTAAAGAGCCAATAGACCACCACAGTCGGGGCGCAATAGGGCTGATGTTCAGCCGGGGTGGAGGGGTAAGCGCAATGAGGTACGAAAAGAAACGGGGTTTTTAGTCAGTAAGAGTCCGACACTCCCTCCCGCTCCACCCTGAGAGGTCATTTGATGATTTTCCCTTCACAAAAAATCTTACAAAGTATCAACTAGTAGTGTAGCTAACTAGTCGCGTTGTACAGGAGTTCGAGCAGTTCGGTCAGTACGCGGGCGCGGGCGCCGACAACAAGGCCACGCACTGCGACGGACACGACGACATGGGATGCTACCAGGTATATACTCGTACTTACATTACTTCTCTTCTTTTATATCAAACATCAAGCTTAGTGGCGTGCAATGTGAAGGCCTATGTCTAGCAGTGGAAGGAAACAGGCTGATGATTATGGTATAAGCGTTGTCCCAACATTAGGTATTTCTCAATAACAACAACACACAATTTGACATACACATCACACACACAGAACCGAAACAACACTGACCACACAATGGTTGTTCTATGGGGGAATCGAACCCGCATTACGTTGCACGGCAGCCAGTTGCCCAACTATCGCGCCAAACTGGGCAGTCAATGCGACACTTTTGACCAAAAATAATTATTTTGTCACATTTCTGTATGTAATGAATCATTTTTCTTAATTTCCTCTACTTATTTATTGAGAAAAAACAGTCTTGTAATCGGAAAAAATTTTGACATTTGCTTTACTTGTGTGAGTGCAATTTGACAACCAAACTTAGTCAAATGTACTTACCTACTACCATATTTTTTTCTACAAAGAAGTAAAAAAATAACACTACTCATATAGTAAAATACCAATATGACGAATGGTTAATCATTGAGTACCGTATAACTGGCAGGTCCGCCTGTACTACGACTGGTTCCTGGTCCCCGGCTCGTGCAAGTGTTGGCGCCCGGACTACTTCGCCAGGTACGTGCGCCGCCGACAGAACACCGAGCTCTAGGGGGGGGGGGGACCTATCCCGCTGTATATATTCAAACATAATATACGCACCGATAAATAGACATCATCCCTTGATTCTTCAAAAGTCTGGTAATACTAACTTCTGTCAGCGACTTCGCTCGCTTTACCAGAGTTATAATAGTAACCTACTTACGTATATGTTATCCCAGACGATAATCTATCTCCATGTTAAATTACATTCAGATCCGTTCAGTAGTTTTTAAGTGAAAGGGTAAAAAACACACTTCCATACTTATAAAACTTTTGCGTTTAAAATAATATTAGTGGGATTATCTTTTTGTACACATTACATACTGGTGCTACAGCTTCTTATTGTTGTGACGTTAAGACTGGATCTAAATAATAATTTTATTAATCGTTAATTAGCCTCAAGGCATTAGTAGGTATATTCGTACCAAAATATTTTACGGACGGCAGGAGAGATCTCTATCAACTGTAGACTTTAAACTACACACTTTAGCAGGTCCACTTACTCCAATTAATGTTACAACTTTTTGTTTTTGAATACTACCTAACTATTCATACCAAATTTATTGTGCGAATTTAATGAGAAAACCTCTACTTATTACGTGAGTAAGCCGTTTTTTGCAGTAATTTTTTGCTTGATATTCAATCTTGTTGCCGTAACATAAACTTGAGTCTCAAAGTTTTAAAAGAGTAGGTTGACCTGCTGGCGTGTATACATAATATATGTCACGGCCAACTAACTTAATTAGCCTTTCAATCAACTGCCTAGAGTGTTGATTTAAGATACCTAATAAAATTGTACTTTAATCAAATTGGGTTCCTCCTACTAAAATAGTCTGATTGAGATATTCAGCCAATCCACCAGACGGCTAGTTATTTAGTTAAAAGGCTGATTAAGCTAGGGCATAGGAATATATGTAGCGAGTAAGACTCGAGCTGAGCGTTGCATTTATTTAGTAATAATAATAATATAACACATTATGTATGTCGATGTAAGTTCTTCCTGTAGCAATACTCTGTGTAGCTCTGTAAGTATTGTAGCTAATGTACGCCCAAACTGCATTTATATAGACATAGTGGATACTTTGTATGTATTGTTACACACACACACACACACACACACACAACCATGCCTTCTTCCCCTTCCTCTATATGTATAAGTACGAACATTGATATTATAAGTCAAAAGGTGTAGAGAGGTTACAAGCGCTCAGCAAGGGATAAATTCAAATGTAGCTAACTAGCCACACTTAAGGCATTATTAACTTCGTCATATTTGTTTGTTTGTCTATTTATTTTAAAAATCAATGAAGTATCATCAGCGAATAATACCATATGCGGTTCATTTTGGAACAAATGGAGCAGGTCATTCACATAAACTAAAAATAGAAAAGGACCTAATATTGAGCCCTGCGGTACGCCCATAGATACGCTAGCACCCAGTTAGTTTACCTGGTTTACTTGTACTTTAATTTTTCTTTCTTGAAGGTATGATTTCAATAAATGTAGGGACACCCCCCGAATGCCGTAGTGTTGTAGCTTCAGTAACAGCGTGTCGTGCTCAACACAGTCGAATGCCTACGATTTATCCAGGAGTGCATTAGTGTGCCGTTTTTGAAAATCGAATGTTGTTTATGTACCTATCTACACCATGTTACTTATAATATCATTGAGTACGAAGGTGTAAGGAGGCATCGTTCTCGTACTCCATTAAGTACTGATAACTTGTTATTTATTAAAACTTTTGTATATGTAAGTTGTTTAGTATGTAGGATATAATAAAGCACTTCTACTACATGTTATATTGCAGTTTTATTGTATAAAACAACCAACTCACTCCCCTCGGTATAGGCTAGTCCACTTAGGGTTGATTTTTCAATGGTTATATAAAAGTTAGCTGGGGAATAATTATGATGCTGTCGCGTCACAATGTTTGTATAAGACAGTGACAGCAACAATTTTATTCCTCAGATAACATTTATCTGAGTATTGAAAAGTCAGCCCTAAGTGTGAGAGAACAGAGCAATAAAAGTATAGTACAAGTTGAAGGAGTTTATTGTAGATACATACAACCTATGTAGGAGGTACGAGTGAGGCGCACGACGCAGTGCTACTACTGGCCAACTACTGGGTGTGCGATACCCACGACACTACTCACGTTGTACTATATTCTCATGGTTGGTGCTAATCTCAAGGCACTTAACACAATATTGGCTTCTAACATATGTAAAGATATAGCCAGGACACGACTTCTATCGGGGAAATAATAGTGTTACAAATATACAGGCTGATAGTACCCGCTACATGAGCTACGGTGGCGCTTCAATTATTGCAATGTCACAGTGTCGGTGTGATCTACCACTAAGACAATATCGTGAAGGATACAAGTATAGAGCTTAGTTACAGACCTACCGCTGCGTGATGTGAGTACACAGAGACGAGATCTAGGTACACGAGTTATGTAATCTAACCTATTGATACAGTCGATCACTCAGCGTCACCCAACACCAATGTTCACTTCACTATAACGCTACGTCGCACCGTCGCGTGCACTGCTCAGTGAGCGTACACTGGGCGACGCACTCAGTGCAGTCTGTGTACTGTCCGGCTGTACCTACACGAGCAGGACGGAGGCGGGGGGCGAGCGGGGCGCGCGGGGCGCGGGGGGTGGCGCGCTGCCGTAGTGGGGGGCGGCGCGCGCGCGGGCCGGGCTGCTCATGACCTCCACGATGCGGCCGTTCTCGAACACCAGCTCGGGGGCCGCGGGCCCGCCGGGGGCGCAGGCCGAGTACGGGGGCGGCGCCTCGGGGGGCGCAGGCTTGCTGGGCGGCAGGCGCGCCACGGCGGCGTAGGGCGGCGGACGGTCCAGCGCCGCGAGAGGTCGGACCCGCTCCGGCGTCGGCACGTCGCAGTCGTAGTGCTGGACTGTATACACATACACACACGTATTTACAAATACACAGTTTTCCCCAAATAAAGCGCTCGTCAAGCTCATAATTCTATTTACGGTGAATGGATGGATTGAACAAGCTGTATACATTCAAAAAAGTTGTTCAGAACGTCGTTAATGTACTTGTAACGATTAAAACAAGTTAAGTTAGGTACTTGTTTCTCGTTGTATTTTTTTTATTATGATCATTTTTGAACAGGTGAATATTATAAAACCATGTTGTTAATTCATCTTTTAATATTTAAGCATAATAATAAGTTAAAACGAATTAATGTAACAACTACAGATTGTCCAAATAAATAATCAGTCTCGCAATACTCACACGTCGTCGCCATCACGTTCGGCGTGGACCATTCATCCGAGTCTTGTCGTATCACTGAAATCGAAACATACAACAAGTAAGTATAATAATTAGTCAATTCGTCTGTATAGCCGCTTGGCAACTAACGAGCTTGATTCGCTACGAACTCAGACACGCCCCAAATCTATCTATCATCGAATAATTTAATTGGGTAAGTCGTTTTAGTTAGTGCAACAATAAGTTATTAAGACGTACCTCCCCGCAGGCGGTAGTGTCCCCGCATCACCTCGGGCTCGAGCTCCGCCGCGCCCGCGTCTACACAACAAGCAAACACTCATAATTTTAAAAATTATACACATCAATTCTACGATCTTTCTGTGTACCGAAACTTCGCAATGGACGTGTTTTATAACATGAATGTGGTGGATGGTTACTAGAGAAACGACAAGAGTAAAGTCGAGAGCAGAGCCAGTCTCTGAAGTCAAATGATTGCACTACCTAGGTATAGGGTTCCATAACATATGAGGTAGTCTGTTAAAAAGATATCTTAATACTGCTGAACCACTCACTTACATATCTATGTATTAAATACATTTATCAATTATCTGATATGGGTGTTTTCCACGTGCAATTAAAAGGTGAAAATTACTTGCTTTCAAGACAAAGAGGTAAGTACAAGCCATTCTTTCTACTATGATCCAAATTCATAAAGAGACTGATGAACATTAGACTTTTAGCTTTTAGAAGTCCTAGTTTCAGTTCGGTTGTCGTACTAAAATATCTACCTCGGGTGCTGTACATCAGGTGACATTACATTGTTTTGTTGAAAGAAAATTATTTCTAATGTTGACTTGTTAAAAGCATTCGACACAGTATCTAGCCCATCATGATATGATCATGCTAAAAAACCTAATAAGTTGAGGTTAAGGGGACTATCACGAAATTTATCTAAGGGTTAGTAAGTAAGGGAAAGAACTCAAATGTTTAAAGTCGAAACCTGCGTAAGCGATAAATTACCTATTGAATGTGGTGTCCCACAGGGTAGTATCTTATGACCTTCATTGCTTCTGCCTTATATAAATGATTTTTGTAAAACAGAAATGATAAATGGGAAAATTATATCTTTTATCAGGGATACGACCCTATATTTGTAAGGAAACAATGATGCTAGGTTTGGTAACTGGACGGCTCAGTGAAAATCTACTCACACTCAATGTTGACAAAACTATGTATATGACATGTAGCAAAAAACACAGGCCAACATACACCTCATTGCACCTACTTGCAATGTAAATGTAAGAAGCGCATGTCCTTGTATTAAATAAAAGGAAACTATAAATACTAAACACCTACATATGTATAAATCCAATCCAAAAGCCTCATACACACTAGTTGAAGTGGCTTTTTTTTTTTCTTTTTAAAAAAAACGTTGCCCCACTTTAGGATTTTCTCCTGTGTTGTGGGTGCGTTTACTAACATACAATGTCACATACACATGACACCCAGACCCGAAACAACAATTTGTGGATCACACAAAGTGTTGTTCCTTACGGGAATCGAACCCGCGACACGTTGCACGGCAGCCAGTTGCCCAGCCACCGCACCAACCGTGCAGTCAAACCGTGCTTTGGATTGACGAGGATTGGATGAACGCAATAGAAACGCGTGAGTCGAAAATGGTGTGGAAAATGAGGGATCGAATAACCTTTCTACGAGATATGGCGGGCAGCAAGGTTGCTCGCTTAGACGCGGCGTGGTTGTTCAGGGAGCCTTGTATTTCAGTTAGTAGCGCGGAGTTTAGTATAAGTAATGAGTGCGACATAAGAGATACTGACTGGTGTGCATGTAGATGGCCTTGAACAGTTTCTTGTGCAGACAGTTCTCGGCCGCCTTGACCAGCAGCACGAGCAGCGCCAGCGCCACGGCGCCGGCCGCCCAGCCGCGCGCCGCGTGCCCCCAGGAGGTGCCCCCGCCGGGGTCGGGCCGCGCGCCCCCCGCGCCCGCCGCGCTGCCTGCTCCCGCCGCGCCCCCCGCGCCCGCTGCCCCCGCCGCCCCGGGTCCGCTGCCCGCGGGCAGTACTATGGACACGGGGTCGTACGGCCGGAAGTTCGGAATGCCCTGCAATTCATACCATAAAAGCTGGCGATTATCATCATCTGCGGTACGACCACTGCTGCATGAAGGCTGCAATCTTATGAAAAGTGATTTGCCATTGTACTGTGAGTTTGCACATTGTACTTCAGCCTAGTTGAAAATACTATAAAAATTGTTAATTTGTAAAGTTCGGCCTGTAGTCACACATGCAAGCACATCGGTCTCCAGTATATTATTTAATGAAGTAACTTTTAAACAATTGAAATAACATTTACCGACTTATACTATTACAGCCATAGTCACCAAGGGGCAGTACGGTTGTTTAAGTACCTACCATTTGTTACGTACATACAAGTGTGCAGATGACAAGTACAAAGCTGGTACCTTCATGTTGGAGATCTCCCAGGTGTCGACGTCATGGAAGCGGTCCACCCGCCAGGCGATGGGGGGCGCGGTGGGGGCCGCCCACTGCCGGTTCAGGAGCAGACCCTTCGGCAACGTGTCCAGTCTGCAACACACGAACCCAACGCTATAGAACTTGGGGTACGATCGACCGAATTCACCATCAATACATTTGCAATTTTATACCAAACATAAATAAGTTCGAAATCTGTTAAAGAAAGGAGTAAGTGGCCTGTAGGTACCTACTGGTGCTAACCTAGTTAGCTGTTTACCGGTATTGATGTGTTTGAGATCTCCTTTGTTATGTACACAATCTTGTGGTGAACCATCCTCTCTCCCCTCACAGTGTGAGTATCGCCACGCGACTGTATCTGTACGAGCATCGCCACATGATTTAGTAGTCTTACTTTTTGATATTGTAATCTAAAATTTTATAATAGTTGAATGGTATTGACTATTCAGCTATGACAATGTAGTTTACTTTTTTTGATACATGTACATATATTAATTAGTGTTTACAATAAACTCAATCCAGTAGTAAGAGTACAACATGGTAAATTTATTTCTTGTCAACATCAGTCAATATCGCATCTACTGGCCCCTGGCCACCTACTTTACCTCTGAACATGAACAATGAGCAGTACGGGCTAGCGGCTCGCGCAATGTGTACCTGATGAAGTGTCGCGTGTCCTTGCGCAGTCCGTAGAGCGCGAACTTGTCGTGTTCCCGCGCGTAGGGCCGCGCGTGCTCGGCCGCGCCGCGGGGCCGCGCGCGCCGCTCCAGGGACGACATCCACGCCCACGGGGACACTGTCGGCTGCATCGCCGCGCTGGACACACATACAGTACTCAGCATTGACCTCAGAACAACTATTTGTCAAGGGAAAATCATCAAATTACTTCGCCGGTCTGGTTCTGCTCGGTCGGCGAGCTACCCTTACTCGACTTCCGCAAGCCCGCGCTTACGCTGGCTGGAAATCATCTCTCGATCTACGCCGCCCGGAGTGTTGGAAACTACGGCGACTGAGGCGTGAGGAGGAGGACAGCTCACTTAGCCAGCATAACTGCTTAGCAGAGAGAGGAGATGGCTTCCCAATCCCTCTCACTTCTCACCATGGGCTCGACTAAGGCACAGCGCGGGAGATCAATTCCCTGAGGAGTGAGGACACGACGGTGCTCAGCCGAAGCAGGGCACACCGCCATCGTATGCTCCACCGTGAAAACACACATAATCCATGGCTCTTGTTTTTGCATCTGTGACATATTGCGCTATGCAACAGTGACAGGTTTCACAGCTGGTAAGTGGTATAATATTGACTCGAGTGTCAGTAAGTTAAGTAGGTACGATGTACAGCAATAGTAATCACGTGTCGACCCAGACGCGGTGACACTGACAGACAGACGGAACGATCAATTGAAATCAATATAGTTTAACTGAATATTATTAAACATATTAACGATGCAGGGGCGCTGTCGATGCGCCGGCGCCCGGGGCTGTGACATTGATGTCGCACCGAGGTAACTGCTAGCTCTCCGCAGCCTCATTGGCTACCATTGTGTCCATGGACTGAGCCGATTACCATCAGAATATTTGTCCACGCGTTTGCCGCCCAATCCAATACAAAAATGAAATCAATTTTCCGGTTGTTTTGTATAACCTAATAATTTTAAGTGTGGGAGAGCCAAGCTTCGGGACGAATGGGTCGGCTCGACCGGAGTGATACCACGGCCTCACAGAAAACCGGCGTGAAACAACTACAGCGTTGTGTTTTGCCGTAGTAGTGAGATTACCGGATGCACAATCTTAAATCTCCAATATCTTAATCAAAAAGTCGGCAACATATTCGTAACTCCTCTGTTATTGGTATCCGGGTGTCTATGGGTGTCCAGCGCGTTAGACAGTGTTCATACAACACTAAGGTATTTGGAAGCGAGTGAATCAGGTGAGTTCCCGTTAGGTACTGCCCCGGCATATACATTGTGTACAGTACACGACTAGCTATATATTGTATTGTATAAAAACCAAATTAGTAGTACTACCATCCAAGTTATAAGTACTACCATCCCTCTGGTATACGCGAAAGCATAGCTACTTAAATCATCCCATACAGATCCGTAGGTATGAGACTCGCGAATCACTATTTATAAGTGTATCTATGTATGTGTGTATACATATTGTAGATGATATAAAACACAGATTATAGAATAAGAAAGACGCTTATATTACTTTGGACACGAGCTGCCGCTTCATATGCAACTTGTGGTGGGTATTACTTGTGTGCTTGCACCGAGGGCCCATCACAGCGCATGTCAAGGTCAGGGAATGTATGCAACATTAATAATATATACACCACTCACCGTCACTGCTGCGCTGTGTGGACTGAGCGTCGAGCGCAGCGCTCACTAGACCAGTAGGAGTCGCGCCCAGTCACATCGCAGCTCTTTACAGCGAACAGGAAAGCTTTCAAAGCTTCAACACATAGCTGAGTGGGCCTCAGTGATGGCGTGCGTGTGGCGCGGTGCGGCGGCGACGCGTCGCGCTCGCCCGAGTATCGGCGGATAAATAAACAGCGGCCGAGGGTGTGTCGCACGCATGCGCGGAAAGTCACGCGCTCACAGCGCCGCCACGCGGGGACTACTTTCACTACTCGCTAGTCACTACATTATTATACAATGGGGGCGCCCAAATCACACACTCACCTAATTTGCATGTAGCAGGAACCAAACCAAAAGAATTCGACCACCCGCCATGCTAAACGTAATGTCTTAAACTTGACACCAGTATGTGAGCGATTAGAGTAATTGAAGAGAGAGAAATTGATTGATTGCGTTTCATTATCAACTATGGCACTCACTACGCGTAACATACATACTTACAACTACACTTTTATGTATGGGAGAGCCAAGCTTCTACACGAACGGGTCGGCTCGACCGGAGTGATACCACGGCCTCACAGAAAATCGGCGTGAAACAATCTTAGCGGTGTTTTTATGCCTTAGCGCATCTGTACTGTATGGGCAAAGGAGCAAGTACCTAATTTCGATGTCACATGTAGGTAATCCAAAATTATTGTAACTCAAAATTCAAGTCAATCAATTCAGATTGAAATCCATCCACAGGACCATAGCGTCCCAACCCTTGAAGGCGTACGAGGAGCTGAAGCCAACTCGCAGAGGCCCTTTGAACAGCTTTAATATTAGTGAAATGGGACATCAGCCTGTAATGATCAGCGCCGCTAATGGACCCTTGACAACAACAGAGGAATAACATTTTTGCGTGATGTGGCCTTTTGACAGTAGAGTCGCCACTGCCCAACAGCTCGTCACAAGCTACCTTGCGGATTTCATCATCATCAGCCTATAAGTGGCCACTGCTGAGGAAAGGCCTCTTCTCACACGGAGAAGGTTTGAGCATTAATCACCACGCTTGCTCAATGTGGGTTGGCGATTTGAAACTTATAATTAGAAATTATAAATCCAGGTTTCCTCACGATGTTTACCTTCACCGTATGTCAATGGCACAGTATAAATATGGAACAGTATGGTAACTAAGCCTGTTTGACCGTATAACTACCTACCGGTCATTAAAGCACTAGGGTTGTCACTTCTAATGTTTTTGATATTGTTTGTTTAAACTAAAATAAATCAATTGTGTTTTGTTGTAATCAATCAACCCAATTGAAATAACTAGTTTACAAATAGAATTTAAATAGGTAATCTCATGTTGTCGCGTATGTTAACTTAAAAAAAAGAGTACCTAGTTTAAATAAATGTTAAGATATAAGCGCTATACTATACAGCTCTGTCTTTTACCCAAACTAGAATAAGAATAAAACAATTTTACTTTGAACATGGTAACCCACGTTGGCTCATGAGAGGTAGGTAGTTTTCAGGTATTTGCCAAACCCATGAAAATGACACCCATGATAGAAAAGTTGGTATTTTTGCAGCCGCCATCTTGGATTTAAATTTGGACAGCACCATCGAATTTATCACCCTCGAAAACCATGAAAACGACACCCATGATGAAAATGTTGAAATTTTTGCTGCCGCCATCTTGGATTTAAATTTGGACAGCACTATCAAATCACCCTCGAAAACCATGAAAACGATACCCATGATGGAAAAGTAGAAATAAATAAAAAAAAAAAAGCTGGAAAAAACGTGGCATTTTTAAAAAATCCTCGTCTTGACGCGGCATCCGATACTGACTGCACTCTGAGGTCCACTTAGAGCTCTCGTAAATGCGCATGTTTGTGTGAGTGCGCCATTTCGAGCGTTTCTAGGCAGTTACCATACTGTTCTCTATTTATTTATACTGTGTCAATGGTGTCTAAATAATCCTATAAAGTACATATAACTCGGAAAAAGTCACATTGGTTCTTACCAGGTTTCGAAACCACACACACACACAGACATGCATGAGAAGCGGGCTCCTCAACCTCCGGGCCACCACGACGACAACTTGTGGATTTATTGTAATGTTATTTACTAGCTACTCTCGCGCGGTTTCAACCACTGCCTGGCTCCATTTGATCGTATTGTGAAGTTTTATAGCCTATAGCACTCAGGAACATTGTAGCTAACTATCAGTGAAAGAATTTTCGCAATTTGACCAGTAAGCAGTTCCAAAGATTACCCTCCACATACAAACTTACAAATTTTACCTCTTTATAATATTAGTATAAATATAGATTATTGAACTCGTTTGTTATAAGGTGTGTTTATTAAAGTACATACATACGTGGCTGTGCGGCTCTGCCTCCTGTTGGTAAACTGCGGCCGTCCATCGTTGGATGACACCTGGTTGCGAACTATCGCCATTGAGGCGCGGGCCACAAGCCACCAGCCACGTGCAGCTACTGGTACTATTCACATCGATAGAATATAATATGCGGGCTGCCTGAATAAACTATAAACAATTTATTTCATATCTGACACTGACAACACAGACAGCGACCACAGAGCCTACATATATGGAGTTACATTACTACCATTCGTGGGAACAAAGGTTAGCTAAGTAATCTACTTTTTTTAAAGTTAACCTGCACTATTATAGGATTTTCTCCTGTGTCGTGGGTGTGTTTACAGACTGTGACGTAGTAGTCAATCATTAGTTCATTTGAATATAAACTGTATTTCTGGAGAGGAGGAATTATTAATAAACGGTACGTGTAACGATTAACATCTTGTTTGATTTGTCTAAGTCCCGTCTTTACAAGACATACAAATTCATATACACATAACACTCAGACTCGAAACACCAATTTGTGGATCACACAAAGAGATGTTTCGTGCAGGAATCAAACCCGCAGTACGTTGCACGTTGCACAGTAGCCAGTTACACAGCCACCGCGCCAACCATACAGTCTCTATAACTTATATATGTAACTCACGAAGAATTAATTACTCAAATTTATTTAATAATAATTGTAGTTCTCAACATATTCTTCCGTCCTCTTTCCGTATGGGTGATTAGTTGTACTCTTTGAGCAAGAGCCCACGTACTGTTGACATATCAATCAGGGATCGAACCCGTAGCAGCGGATGAGCGGAGCCATCGATTTCAACGTGACGTCATCACCAAATTGCCGCCTTGAACTCGATACCCACGGGTACTGCAGCGGCGCCCCCTGCCAATATGTCAGCGAAACTTGCCAACATGTACAATTTCTTACTTAAATGAGGCCAAATAGTGGACTTGCTCAATAAGTTCTTAAAATTACTGCTAAAGGACTACAAATTATCGTAGCATACGCAGCTAGTAGGAATCAAACTTCGTAGCGAGAAATAAAAGCTTTCGTAGCGTGCTACATTGCTACGGCGATACGTTCGCTACGACGACTACGACCACGCTAAGAGATCAGGAAAAGACTTCCTGCACTACAAATGCGAGAGCTAGTAAGGGCGTATTATGGATATAAGTCTAAAATACTAAACTGATTTAGATAAAAAGTGGCACAAATATATGTAGATTGGGATTGGATAATTTGGAGTAACACGTACAGTGTAGCCCACATTTTGTTCAGCTAACGCGTAGAAGCCGCTTGACTTCCACTCGACTATGTATCACACTGGTGTATAGATCCAGTGTAAGTTCTGTGCATATATAGCAGCACACATAGGTAGGTGCCTTGTCTTCATATCATGACTGCCGCGTTGAGTATCGTAGACCGCCGACCAAAAGCCGACGATTGAGGTAGATAGTTAGCAAACGTAATTTTGGAGAGATATACATATTTTTTTAAATATAATATAACAAAAGTAAATGTTATGCATTCGTAGTTATGGATGATAATGTGTATGTATTGAGGTCCCTGTATGTGTGTGTGTGTGTATAGTACAGAAGTGAGGAGGATCGATGCGCGCCGCCACTCCGGCGCCACCCGCCGCCGCGGCCGGACACACGGAGCGCACGACCAGCGCGCGACGATATTTCAGTATGAACTATTTAATTATGAACTTCTACAACAATAACTGTCGTGTTGACCTGCTGACGACTATTTTGATACTGAGCAGAAGTCGGTTTCCAAGATGTACGATAACAAGCAAAGCCGATTACAGTAGTAAGTTTTAGCTAAAAATTGGTTACACAATCGATAGATTTAATTTAGCACTGGCGTAGACGCAGGCTCGATTTCAAAACTTCTAACACAGATAAACATGAATTAGCGAGCATTTTGGTATTTTACCATTATCTCTTTCCTTCATCGCACCACCAGATAATCATCACCACGTCACTGCTTCATGGTGGATCGACGCGCATCACTAAGGAGTGCAATTCTTTGCCTGTGCTCCATTGAATGCAGCATTATAGCAGAAGAGATATGGAGGTCAACGCCAGACCATTGCAAATGAAAAAAAACAAAATTTGCGCGATTTGTGTATGCGCCGTGTGTCGCGATGTTGTCGCTCGGAGGCTGCGCTCGCCGCCGCGGCTCACTCTCTCCGCGGCGAGAGTGAGCGCCACATCACGTACTGTGCCCAGCCATACACGGTGACCCTCAGTCAGTCAGCCAGTCAGTCAGTCAGTCAGCCGCAGTGCAGTGCCACGCAATATGAGAGACGTCTCTACCCGGAGCTCACAGTAGCGGCCGGCGTCAGGTGGTCCACAGGTGAGTCACTTCCACAACACAGCGAGCACACACATACCTGTTGTGGGACCCGACAGGACGCATTCATACCTTTACATAGGAAATGAATGCTGACACTTAGGAGCTACCGTTGTGCATAACTTTTTGACTTTTGTTATGTTAGGTAAATACAAAACAAAATAGAATCAAAGCTGAAATGGTAAGCTTACGAGGCGGTGAAGGTCACTACATCAGAAATTGTATTTTTTTTTGGAATGTTTTGAGCAGGGCCTTCTTGGATGTGGTTGTATTGTTGTCATCCTCTTTTTAACAACGAGAGTCCACTGTTGGAATATGGGTCTTCAGATTGCACGGGCTGGTTGGAGATAGCAGTTTACAAACAGCTCTGGGCAGGTCACTTTACTTGCAATGGATAGGATATGATATAGATACATAATATTATATATACATTATGTATAGTCCCTAGCTCGGCCCTTACCACACCCCAATGATCACTTTAAACGAAGTACTAATATGTGCAATAATATTTATGTACATTTATGCCTACATACATACATACATGTACATAATTACGCTCCTCAGGAAGATTCCAAAGTTCTACCTCTACTTCAAGTTAAGTAGGTCAAATAGATTATCAAAATAAAATTGAATTGTTAATCAAAATTGTATATTTGAATTAAATTAGGTAGATAAATACTATTACTGCCGACATGTTTATCCATTGTCTCTACGTCATTACCATCCTTATCTTCGACGGATTCTGTGCTCTGCGTTAGTTGTAGTTTATCACAAAGTGATGTGCGGATACTGCGCGCCTTGTGCTTGCAGAAGGCATGGGGCGCGGGGGCGCGGCAGGGGGCGCGGCGGGGGGCGCGGGCGGGGGCGCGGCGGCGGGCGGCGTGCTGGCCGTCGAGCTGTGCGCGCCGCTGCTGCTGCTGTGCTGGCTGTGCTGCTGGCCCGACGACGCCAGCTCAGGTAACGGCCCACACTGCCCACACTGCCCACACTGCCCACACCGCCCACACTGCGAGTACTCACACTGAGTGTGTCCACAGAGAGCTCGGCCGGCAGACACCCGCAGCGGCCGGTGCTGGCCGCCGTCCCCGGTGAGTGCAGTGTCACTGTGTGAGTGTGCCCTGAGTGTAGTGTGTCAGTGAGTGACGCTAGTGTCCCCCCACAGAGCCGGGGTCGCGGCGCTCCAGCGGTCTGCTCGGCCGGCGCGCCGCCTCCAGCGCCACGTCGCTGCACCTGCCCAGCACCTCCGGTACACTCCTGCACTCCTTCATAACCATCAGTTCTATTTCATTACATCTACTTTCAGGATTTTTCATTCTGTTTCTCGAACCGAGTGTCAGATTGTGAAATCGGACTGGTATCAGGTAACAAATATTGTATCAGTGCAGCCTGTAGCTACATACATCGAGTGCCGCAGTAGACACTATACTTGCTGTAAGTCACGTAGCTTACAGAGGAGCATTTCAAAGTTTTTATCTGAAATATTGTATTATAAACTTAGATAGCTTGTAGTTTTTTTATCGTCATTAAACATTGATACAATGTGGTCCGTTTATAGTATCTAGAGCTACACAGAGTGCCAAACTCGATGCTGTTACATCTACTTTTAAAACATAATAAAATGTCGATAACATGTGCAATTTATTAAGAAAGTGACACGGCCTCATCTCGTCACATCTCGGATTGATCACTTGCTGACGATTCTAGTCAATCCGAATAGGCGGGAACTTGCACGTAGCACTCTTGCACGGAACTATATTGTAAGTGCCACTTCCGACACTGTGTCAATGTAATACAATTAAAAATTTCTTTAGTATTACGCAAAAAAGCAAGCAAAGTGCTTATTGCGGCAGTCGATAAATGTATGTAATATTCAGCACTCGTAGCTGGGGCAGGCATCTCAGTTATTTTAAACAATATCAATTAATTTCAAATGCCAGTGACGAAGGTTACTGATCTGTGTCGTATCAAGGATGAAATGGAAAGCAATGCCTTGACCTACCGCAAGCGGACTGTCCTGTAAGCGAGCAAATATCGAAGTGAGAGCTTTTCTCAGAACAAGGTCACAACTAGTAAATACTTGTACATTAACTTGGTATACTAATTATCGATATGTTTATTATTCTTGCTCCAAGGCTACAAAAAGCCACTGTCAGCCCATCGCAGCCACGAGGAGATAGGAGGGCGGCGCAAGCTGTCGAGCCACGAGCCGGGCGAGGCGGAGGCGCGGTACCACTCGGCGCCCAGCGTCATCGACGAGGTACTGCACCGCCGCGACTGGGAGCGCTCCACCAAGGACCTCTACATCCCGCTGCGCCCAGAGCCCGGCCCGACCGAAGCTGGCGACAGTCCCAACGAGAACAGCGACAGCCTGGCCGAGGCCAGCCCCAGCCCGCAGGCGGCCAGCCAGAGCCCGGCCTCGGGCCGGCCCTGCAAGAAGCACCACTCCAACATCAAGTCGTCGCGGCGGCGCAAGGAGAGCGCCGACACGGACGATAAGGACACGGACGCCACGGAGCCCGGCTGTTTCTACATCGGCGAGCGCGAGCAGGACGCCGCCAGCCTGTACCGCGCCAAGGGCGACAAGCAGACCTTCAACGAGTCGCTGCGCAGCCGCGGCTGCCTCGATGACGTCATCGAGCAGCTCGACCGTCTGCAGCCGCTGGACCGCTCCGGCGCCACCCACCACACCATCGAGTCGCGTCTCAGCCTCGCGCGCTCCGTCTACCCGCCGCCCTCTGTCGGTCAGTCCATACACTACGCTACTCGCGCACGACTCTGTCTGTCCACTGCTAAGCGTTCTCTTCAGTGCCTTGTATAATCTGCCTCATTGTCCCATTTATATTATACGCTTAATGAGCAACTAATCTTGCAGCCACATTTTAAATAAAAAACTTGAGATCAAGGTCCCCGAATAGTGCGGGCCTGCGCTTGCTCCGGCGCTGCATGCAGCCGAGGCCGGAGTCGCATGCGTGTGTGAGTGCAGCGCTTGGTTGTGTGTGTGCGCGTAGAGCCGGTGGGGTACGAGGGCGGCGCGTGCTACCTGGCGGAGCGCGGCGCGCTGGCCGACCTGCGCGCCTGCGCACTGCGCGCGCGACACGCCAGCGACGGGGACATCCTCGCGCCGCCGCTGCGCCCCGAGTCCGGCGCATTCTCAGGTCAGACCTCCCCCCGCCTGCGGGCCCGCAGCGTCTAGCGCCCTCTATAGCTCCGCTGCGTGTTGCAGAGAGCGACCTGGACCTGGACCTGGACCTGGACGCGGCGGAGGAGCGGCCGCCGCCCTACGACGAGCTGCAGCGGTACGCGGCCGACCACAAGGAGACCGCCATATAGATAGCATCCTTCGATTATATAAAGTGTTTGTTTATATTTCATAGTCTACCTAATGTTCGTTGCGTGTTGTCTGTCAGTCTGTGTCCCGCCGCCACGCTTGCAGACTGTTCATCAGTTCTTGAAGACAGTGACTGTCACCTACTGAGCTAACACCATGGCGCCGAGTATACGAGCGCTGCAGTGCGTGCTGCGGCCGACCGACATATTGTTTACTTATTACTGTAAGCGGCCGCCGGTGGAAGCTGCGCACTTGTTGCTTGAATCGTCACTCGTGTGGCGTCTGAAGCATTCTAGGCTCTATATGTTGTTACACTCCTTGAAGGAGTTCTTGTAATGTTAATGTTTATTGTTATTGTCACGAGCAGCTCGTAGCCCGAGTACTGAAACGTTACGCTACACGTTACATGTTGCGGTACTGGGCCGCGCAGCTCGCACCGCAGAGTTCAAAGTAAAATACAAATATAATATTTTGTAATACAATGACGGGTAGTGAGAGTAATTATAAGAATTATATATATAAATATGTATACACTTCATTTAGTTAGTGTCAATTCACCAGCGGAACATGGTCTCTGTCAATATTAGGATAAGGTGCTTATTTGTTTGTGCGGCGCCGGCAGCGCTACTGCAGGGGCTGGCACGTGCGTTAATAAAGTCTGTGTTACTGAGTTTGTTGTTTCATTGCCGACCCTAGACACCATAAATAATGAAAGCTCTTTACCACGACCTCACAGACAACCGAAACAGCCACAGCGTTGTGTTTCACCGTGTGAGTGAAGTTACCTGATGCCTAATCTTTCCCTTCCCCCAATTCCAAAATCCCTTATCCCCAAAAGGCCAGCAACGCACTCGTAACTCCTCCGTTGTTGCGGGTGTCCATGGGTGGGGCTGATTGCTTACCATCAGATAATCCGTCTGATTGTTTGCCATCCTATCAAATAAAAAGAGCTTCGACAAGACTGACGCTACCTCGCAGCAAACCAGCGCGACGCAGCGCTTGTGTTGTGTTTCGCGATATGAGTGATGTTGCTGAATGGCCAGATATCCATTTCCCTAAAACACAAAGGGTAGCTCTTGTCACTGCTCTGGGGTAGCGGGTGTCTACAGGTGGGGTCCAATCGCGTGTGTGCAGTGTACTTGTCGGGCAGTTATTCCACATAAATATACAGTAAGTATTCCCATTAACATGAACACTGACACGACTATCTCTTTTCTACTCGAGGTACTCTTTAAAGAAGCCGCTGTCTGGTCGGCTGGGCAAGCAGCTGTAGCGTATCGCGGGATCGTCTCCCGTATGGGACAACTCTTTGTGATCCCCAAATTGATGTAGTGATACAGGAGATAATTGTATCAAGAGTGCGTGTAGGGGTTAGGATTTGTATATTTTTTATGTGATAGGTCGGCAACCGAGTAGTTATACTTATTACCTGATAGTAAGCAATCAGCGCCACCCATGGACACCATGGACACCCGCTACAACGGAAGATTTGCGAGTGCGTTGCCGACCTTTGAGGATATCGGATTTTGAGACGTTGGAATTGGGGAATGATTATGGAAGGGGAATAATTGGGCCTCCGGCGCCGTAACACCCACAAGGCGAAATATGACGCTGTGGGTTGTTTCGCCGGTTTTCTGTGAGACCATGGTATCACTCCGGTCGAGCCGACCCATTCGTGGCATATCCCTGCAGGCTACGTGTAGGACGTATAGGAAGAAATAAAACGCGCTGCAGTTGTATGTATTTATTGAAGTTAGTACAAAGGATACAGACACCAAGCTCGAACTGGAAGCGATACACACACAGCACCAGTACACACACACACACACACACTGCCTGCAGCAGTACGTATACAGCGACCCGTGTTACATTAAAACACGATCGCCATCTATTGTTGTAAAGGTAAAACTTAATTACGAGTTGTATAATGTCTCTAGTAATATTATTGGTTGTATCAAAATTATAATGTTATTTACATATAGGTCATTTCACCCGCAGTGTATGCGAGTCGTACTTACAAATGTTGGGACTTTACAAAATGTTAAAATATTGAATTTGTTCATCGCCATTATAGACTTCTGTAATTTCAATATACTCGGTATATTATAGACAAATACGTATAACAAAGCTGTACATGTTCCAACAACACACGTGCGGGCAGTGGACGGCGCCAGCCATTGAGCAACAATATACTTCGATACCAAACTTACACTACTTATATAAAAAGTACAAGAGCTACGGCACGAGATGTCGAATAATATCAAAACGCGGGAATAAGTAGGTAGTAGTAATTCGTAAACATTTGGTACAGTAACAGCGCGGTATAAAATATATATTTGTGAGGTAGACTCGAGTCTCTGGTCCGGGCAGTGCTGCCTTCTGGCGTACAGCATGCAGTACACAGCCTTCGGCGCGCTACTGCGCGGCCAGCTCGGGGCCCGCCGCCGGCAGCGCGGGCGCCGCCAGCGTCTTGTCAGGGCGCGGGTCGGCCGCCGGCTCGGCCGCCAGGTCGGCGCCCAGGTCGGCGGGCGCGAGGCCGCGGTCGGGCTCGCCCGTGCTGGCGCGCAGCGCGGCCGGCGAGCTGGACGTGGGGAACACGGTGCCGCCCTTGCCCGCCGCGCCCGGCACCTGCTTGCACAGCTTCGCCATCGCGCTCGCGCTGTCCCGCACCACTGCAACACACACAGCGTGTCACACGCGTGCTACTGTACAATGTAACAATACACGAGGACACAAGTGTCACCTGGCGCCACGGGGTAGGCGGCGGCCGCGGCCGGGGGGCGGCACGACGTCGTCGGCAGCGACACGCTCTCCGACGAGCTCAGCTCTGCGAACACACATACACACACACACACACGGTCAGAACGTGGCGACACATAGTTATAGTTAGCAAGTGAGGTGAATGCGGTGACGGCACACCTTTGACCTTCTTGATGAAGAAGTAGAAGAAGTAGAGACACAGCATGATGAGCAGCGACAGTATGCCGACGAGCGCCACGTAGTACGCGACGTGACTGGGCCGCCGCGCGCCGTTGGGGCCCGTGCCGCCGGCGCCCGGGACCCCCATCTCGGGCCCCCCCTGCACTCACCACTACAACACAAACAGTTACTGCTACGACATCACATCCACATGTCACATACTCCAAGCTACATCGGCAGCTACGCGAGCGTAGCGCGTGCTACAGACATTAAGTGCTACGCGTCGTGTAGCAGGCTACGGCAGGGAGAGCTATGCAGGAACCGGGAGCCTAGTGTCGTCACTCGTTAGCTGACGCACGGATTAGCGATTACTGTATGCAGCCGCAGCACGTAATCTAATTACAATATACGCACTAATCCTACATGCCAGTGGGGTTAGTATATCGGTAATACACATTATTATATTTAGATAGTGTTTATATTATTATCTTGGATGACTCACAGTTGATGAACAATATGAAGGGAGTGCTGACCTTTTGTTTTATCTACTGGGAAAGTCAACTAGCATACAAGAGATCTAGTGCCGCAGAGCGCCCTCTCACGGTGACGGTATGGTGTGATGGGGTCAGTGACTCACCTGTAGGCTGCTGGTGCTAGTGCTGGGCGCTGGGCGCCTGGTACCCGGCGGGCAGTGAGCTCACATGTTGTCCGCCGGCTCCCGCAGCTCACTCCCCCAGGGCGGACGAGCACCGCGCGCCGCCTCGCACGGCACCGTGTCGCCGAGTGCGTAGTGTCCGCGCGGCGCTGTGTGGCGCGGATGACGGCGCGACGGCGCAACAAGTGGCCGCGACACTCTGGCGCCGCAGCCTCCGCGCGCAGGGCTGTCGCCTACAACTCACTCTGAGGACAGCTACCTCAACTTGCTTCTCAAGAACTAATACTTAGTACCGAAACCAGAAACCGAAATATACAATAGGTTTTCATCTTTATAAGTTAGGTACAAGCTACTCGCCCCAGCTTCGCGTGAATGTTAAATTTTAACACCCGCGGTGAATTTTCCAATGTCTTATTTATAGATTATATATTACTTAAGAATTCATTATTTACAATTATGTAGAATTTATATCACAGGTCTAATCAATAAGTTAATTTTGAATTTAGATAGGTACATTGAATCTTTCTCAAAATGAGGTTTCTGATTCGAAGATAGATACTACTGCGATATCCATCGAAATCATTAAGATCAACGGTGATGATGAAATCCCGGGAAATCGAGCATTTTTGTAAATTTACTGCAATATTTCTTTTTTTTATCAACGTTCATTTACCATGACAGCTAACCAATGCGGCAAATGCGCCTTAACTAAGTAATAATTAATTTAATTATTACTTATAACTAATACCTGTAACTAATTACAAACAAAGCTTACCTTATGAATGCACCCAGAGAACTACAGAATACGTCCGTCTCACCCGCTATGAGGTTAAGCGTGCGGAGTGCAATTAACATTATTTCTTGACGATGAGCTGATGGAAGCAGACTCAACTCCTCAATGGTAAGGAGTTCAGAGAAAATTCTTGAAATAAGGTGTAAGTGCACCACCACGTGGCTTGACGCGGAGATATAATTTGAGACTACTCATTAGGTTTGACCGGCAACCTGGGTGACGTAGATATCGTTATAATTATAGTCGTTTGTGTATCACTTGGGGTACATTATTCGGACACTTTTTATTCGGTCGATGGTCGAGTCTAAAGAGTATTGGGTCCTTGATTAGGTTCTTGATGAGACAAAAAAAAAATATTGGGTTTCATTATTTTTATGGTATTAGTCGGCAAACGAGCAGACGGATTACCTGATGATAAGCAATCGGATGGACCCGGGTATGTCCTAAAACTGCGACCAGACACCGAGGAATGGGGAGCAGCATTCTTTAAAAATTATCGGTGACCTAACTGCGCTCGCCAACCCGCCTGCCAAGCGTGGTGAGTATTGGCAAATCCCCCCCAAATGAACTGCTCAGATAAAACCAGGCCCCCAGTCTCCGGCAGTCCCGCCGTTCCTGGCTACCGTGGTAGCGGTCAGGGTAACGGCGGGACACGGGGTGCTAAGAATCCCCGGAGGTGGAGAAAAGGCTACCACCCCCGACGACGACTGGCCCTGGTAACACACAACGTTCGCACTTTGAGGACAGACGAGAAGATTATTGAGCTGGAAGAGGCATTGGGTAGGTTGCACTGGAGTATTGTGGGGTTGTCAGAAGTCCGACGAGAGGGCGAGGACACGATAACCCTAAGATCCGGCAACCTATTCTACTACCGGGAGGGCGAACAACTGTCCCAAGGTGGTGTCGGGTTCCTCGTCCACAGGTCCCTCGTCAACAACATTCTTACCATCGAAAGTGTGTCGAGCAGGGTGGCGTACCTGATACTCAGGGTATCCAATAGATACTCGTTGAAGGTTATCCAGGTTTATGCACCGACCTCGACACACCCAGACGAGGAAGTAGAGGTTATGTATGAGGACATAAGTAGGGCCATACATACTAATAAAACCTACTTCAATGTTGTTATGGGGGACTTCAACGCGAAACTGGGCACTCGAGGCGATAACGAGCTGAGAGTGGGCCAATTCGGGTATGGGCAACGGAACCACAGGGGACAGAGACTGGCTGAGTTCCTGGAGAAGGAGGACCTCTTTGCGATGAACTCCTTTTTCCAGAAGCCGTCTCACAGGAAATGGACCTGGATGAGCCCGGACGGTTCCACAAAAAATGAGATCGACTTCATCATGGCAACAAAGCGACAGATGTTCAATGATGTCTCTGTGATCCATAAAGTAAAAACCGGCAGCGATCACCGACTGGTCAGCTGCACATTGAATATCAATATAAAGCTGGAAAGATCCCGTCTGATGAAGTCTACGCTCCGACCTTCAAATGCACATATCGGTTGTCCCGAGAGCTTTCAGATCGAGCTATCGAATCGTTTTGAGTCCCTGGAGAATTGCGAGTCAGTGGACGAGATTAGCAACAGGTTTGTAGAAACTGTCCATGCGGTCGGGTCGAAGTTTTTTAGACCCCGCCGAAAAGACAGACCGCAGAAGCTTACCGATCGCACCCTCAAACTCATGGCAGAACGACGTGTTATGGTACTCCAGACCTCTGCCGATGCTAAAGCACATCGGCAGCTCAATAGACAAATATGGAAGTCCATGCGACACGATATCCGCAACTTTAACGCCAATAGGGTTAAAGAAGCGATAGAGCGGAACCAAGGCTCCAAAGTGTTCGCTAGGGACATGTCTATTGGGCAAACACAGCTGACGAAGCTGAAGGCGGAGGATGGCAGTGTGGCGTCGACGAGGGCCGAAGTTTTGGGTGAGATCGAGAGGTTTTATGGACAGCTATACACATCGGTCACTAAACCTGTTAGCTCAGTCGCCGATCCAAGAGCTAAACTCACCCGACACTATACCGAGGATATCCCGGACATCAGCCTATACGAGATTAGGATGGCCCTCAAGCAGCTCAAGAACAACAAGGCGCCGGGCGAGGACGGAATCACATCAGAGCTTCTGAAAGCGGGCGGAACGCCGGTACTGAGAGTCCTTCAGAAGCTCTTCAACTCCGTCATATTCGAAGGAGCAACGCCGGCGGCATGGAGCAGAAGTGTGGTGGTACTATTCTTCAAAAAGGGAGATAACACTCTACTGAAAAATTATAGACCCATCTCACTTCTGAGCCATGTCTACAAGCTTTCTCGAGGGTCATCACAAATCGTCTCACACGTAGGTTCGATGACTTCCAGCCTCCCGAACAAGCCGGTTTCCGGAAAGGCTATAGTACCATAGACCACATCCATACGCTGCGGCAAGTTATACAGAAGACCGAGGAGTATAACTTGCCACTATGCTTGGCGTTTGTGGACTATGAGAAGGCTTTTGATTCGATCGAGACTTGGGCTGTGTTAAGATCTCTCCAGCGGTGCCATATTGACTTTCGGTACATCGAGGTTTTGAAGTGCTTATACACAAACGCCACTATGTCGGTCCAAGTACAAAACCAGAGCACGAAGAATATTCCTCTGCAGCGAGGTGTAAGGCAAGGAGACGTCATATCTCCGAAACTGTTTACCGCTGCATTGGAAGACGCTTTCAAGCTCTTGGAATGGAAAGGATCTGGCATCAACATCAACGGCGAGTACATCACTCACCTCCGGTTTGCCGACGACATTGTAGTCATGGCAGAATCGCTGGAGGATCTGAGCACAATGCTCGATGACCTCTGTAGAGTTTCTCAACAGGTAGGGCTCCGAATGAACATGGACAAGACGAAAGTCATGGCAAACGCCCATGTCACGCCCTATCCGATATAAGTTGGGAGTTCTAACCTCGAAATTGTTGACGAATATGTATACCTGGGACAAGTGATCCAGCTAGGTAGGTCCAATTTCGAGAAGGAGGTTAATCGTCGAATCCAACTTGGATGGGCAGCGTTCGGGAAACTACGCAACATCTTCTCGTCCAACTTACCTCAGTGCCTTAAGACGAAAGTCTATAATCAATGTGTCATGTGTGTTACCAGCGATGACCTATGGAACTGAAACGTGGTCTCTTACTGTGGGCCTTATAAAGAAGCTCAAGGTCGCTCAGCGCGCTATGGAGAGGGCTATGCTCGGAGTTTCTTTGCGAGACCGTATAAAAAACGAGGATGTCCGCAAACGAACAAAGGTTTCCGACATAGCCCAGCGGATTAGTAAGTTGAAGTGGCAATGGGCAGGGCACATAGCGCGTAGAACCGACGGCCGCTGGGGCAGAAAGGTTCTCGAGTAGCGGCCACGTACCGGCAAGCGCAGCGTAGGACGTCCACCCGCAAGGTGGACAGACGACCTGATTAAGGTCGCAGGAAGCCGCTGGATGCAGGTCGCTTCCAACCGGCCTATCTGAAAGTCAATGGGGGAGGCCTATGTTCAGCAGTGGACGTCCTGTGGCTGATATGATGATGATGATGAAGCAATCGGCGCCACCCATGGACACCCGCAACACCAAATGAGTTACGGGTGCGTTGTCGGCCTTTTGGGGATAGGGGTTGCGGTTAAAAGGAACGGGAAGGGATAGGAGAAGGGGAGGGATTGGGCCTCAGGTAACCTCACTCACACGGCGAAACACAACGCTGGGTTGTTTCAAGCCGGTATTCTGTGAGGCCGTGGTGGTATCACTCCGGTCGAGCCAACCCATTCGTGCCGAAGCTTGGCGCTCCCACACTTAAACCGGTTTTTTTCAAAATAATCACAGTTATAGCTCAGACAAAGAATAAAACAATAGGCTAACTATTACACGGGGGTCTCGATAACTAATTGGTGATGTGGTTGAAGTGACTCACACATCTGCCTCGCTCTTCAGGGATAAAACGTGGAATATGAAAAACAAAACGCAAGATGCGTTTACACAGGCTACAAAGCCTCGAACACAGGCGCAGAATTACTATATGTATATGTATTCGACATTGTATTTGTGTGAGTGTGCGAAGGAATTACATAACTTGATGCCCTCAGACCATTCCAGCATCGTACCACCAATCGACAATACTTTAGGTACCGCTTCATGGTGAATATCCCATCAAACACACGAGGACTTTTACCTCAAGATTTTAAGGCCAGACTGAATAGGTAGCTTGATGGCAGACAGCTTCATCATAGATCACATCATCGTCTTCCACCAGGCGAGAGGCCATACTGTGAGGAATAAAATAGTAATAGTGCGTCGCGCGGACAGCCCTGCATCTAGCGGCGACAGCGCGGCGCCGCGCCCGCGCATGCGCTCCGCACCGCAACAAGTGCCGCCACCGACACACTCCTAGTAGTAATCGTTTTCAGCTCCTCCAATGATATCTTTTGATTTATTATGTTGCGGGATCCAATACAGTAATGTGCTATTAACGAGCCCGACTTCATTGATTCTATTTTTGCAATGGTACCTATCTACTATAGTTTCTAGCTTCAAGTTGTAGTAGCAGTTTAAAGAGCACAATTAGTCAAAAGACCCAGTAAAACAATATGTAACTTTCGCTTTCTCCGCAATTCTATTGGCGAGACGCCAGTGTACTGAACGCGGGATAAACATAGGCAGGTACAAATATTACCTGGGCATTTTTTTACGATTTTTTTCTCATATTCCTAGATGGGGGAAATAAGTATGGGAGAACCAGGCTTTGGCACGAATAGACCATCTTGGAGTGATACTACGGCCTCACAGAAAACCAGCGTTGTTTCGTCGTGCGAGTGAGGTTACTGGAGGCCCAATCCTTCTCTTCCCAATCCTTAAATCTCGGAACCCCTTATCTTCAAAAGGTCGACAAATTAGCAGCATTTGCAACTCCTCTGGTGTTGCGGATGTTCATGGGCGGCGCTGATTGCTTACCATCAGGTAATAATTTTGAAGAAATCATCGCTTTGGAAATATCGAAATGTCTATCACCCCATTTAATTGTATGTATATTATGACCATATACAAGGTTCTTACAGGGGGATACGCTGTGTGGTGTAGTTTGTACACAAGTATGGAGGCCTCGCTGTAATCGTGTAGGTGCTGTCGATGGCGGGATGTTGGAATAAAACTCAGTGTGTACGCCGACATGCGCTGCGCATTACATTTATTATATTTTGTATGAAAATTAAAATACACTTAGTGACCACTTACATAATTAAATTCAAAATATCTCTTCATAACAAAATGCACCTTAAACTTTACAAAATAAAGCTGAATGTACCTTTATTTGGGAAATAAGACAAACGTTACAATCTAAGGTAAACAACAGTTATCTGAAACAATCTCACGCTGTGAGGTCGGAGAACATATTTGCACAGACATTAGGTACTGCGGGCTGTGCAGTGTGTGCTCCGCTCACATATCACAAGTTCACTTTATATAATAATATAATCTATATAATTCATATCGTGACGTCATCGTACGACGTCACACTGTAACAACTACCTCCGAATGTTTGTCTAGTTAAGTACGTTGCACGCCACACGTTGCGCGTGTATACATCTAAATAAAACTGAGCAGGAAGAGAACGACATGTACTGCAGGCACAGCGCGTGTTGCATGTTGCAGTGACGCGACACTCACTGCAGGGCTACAGGTGACACACGCACCGACCGCGCACTGATAACGCGCCGCTATCTCACTGATACTGTGCTACGACTCCGGTACAAACATTATCATAATACGGTATTATTGTAATCGAAACTATTTCCTTTCAAGTCTAACTCAAATAGTACTGCGCAGTGTGTAGGGGGCGCCACCTGCCGGGCTGCGCCTGCAGTAGCATGCTTGGTTACAGTGACAGTCGGGAACTGCTTCATATACTTAACGCTAAACATCTCATACTGTATACATATCCAACATCTATACTTAATATAAATCTCATCTCAGTCGAGGACAATGTTCTTACACGAAGACAATGTTTGATGGTGTGTGTGCGGCCACTAGTGGGGCGCTGGGGGCCACTAGTGGGGCGCTGTGGGCCACTAGTGGGGCGCTGGGGGCCACTAGTGGGGCGCGTGCGGGTTGTAGGGGGGCTGCTTGTGGTCCGCCATCACCTGGTCGTAGGAGGGCGGGCACGCTGCAACACAACGCAAGGACACGTTACACCATCGCACTACATAGGGTGACTGGTGATTAACTGACCGATATTCAAACCCGTCATTGTACTCATCATTACAAACAACTTTCCCAAAGAACATATTTTTCAATACTAATTAGTTTTATTTTTGTTCCTACTTATAATAACAAACTCAGCGCGCCCGCCATGCGTCGCCCGATCAGCTGTTAGCGGGGAGGCACCGCGCGATTGCGCTTGAACTTTACACGGTAATTTTGCAATAGTAATAGAAATAAAACTAATGAGTCTAGAAATTATAGTTTGTTGAGTACTCATCATAACAATCACGTGTTTAAACATCAGTTAGTAATTACCAGTTACACTATACATATACATACTATATCGCGGCACGGACCGCCGCCACATTGTTCATGCTGGGTGACAGTTGACACATTGTGTATTTTCACTTCATTCCTTCCTATAACTTTCAATCTAAATTACTTATTCTAATGTCAACTTACTTTCCAGCAGATATGATTACAACTCCATCATCGGCCACGGTTCGTGCCGGGACTACACTACACAGTACTCTCACCAAGCCACACAACCGATGGTATGTTGCACACATTAAGGCGCCCCATCATCAATAATACTGAATAACACCTACAATAATATTGAATAACCACTTTGATTACAAACGTTAATTCTCTCAATAAAATTGACTCACCAATATTTTCATGCGATAACATATCTGACGACGATGTTTTGGCGCGCTGGTAATTTTAAATAAAAATATAATAAAATAATACTGAGACTGACCGGTCGATTTCGCTTCATAAATTAAGAAGGAAAATATTGCGCAATGATGAGCCTACACAGTGCAAGAAAAAAACATTGCACAATAAACAATTAAGCTCACACAATGTTTTGTTCAATCATTGTGCAATTCTTTAATACGTAAACGTTCAATAACATTGTGCATGCAGATATATTGTGCAATAGTATTGTAGATGAATGGGACGCCTAAAAAAAGCATTTTCACTGACAACTTACCTGTGGACCCGTGGTATTGAGCTATGAGGCTATACGTTAAAATAGTTACACGAGCATCTAGTGTAATCGACCAAACTACCTTTACTGTTTGTTGTTGTTTACACGACACGGGCTTCAATACAAACTAACTCCAAAAAAATAATTAAGTATTAATAGAAAGACGAAGGAAGGTCACATATAACTAAGTACTATTTTTGTACTTGATATATTGCAAATCAGTAACTAGTTTCCAACATTTTGTCATCGTTAGTTTGCAAGGAGCCCCGCGGTATTAACGCCATTACCAAGCAGCGCACTAGATGATACAATCACTACACACATTACTACACAGAACAAAGCATGTGGATGAAACCTAAAGTTACGAGAACGTATGCCTAGTACAAGTTGAGGAATTACTTAGACAGGATGATGGCCACTTGTTTATAAGAAGGTGACTCTTGAAGTCTCATTGAACAGGAGCTCGGGGATTGTAGGTGCTACTGCTAATTTCAATGTTTCAAAGTTATGTCGTAGTCAATTTGCCTACAGATTACAATAACAATATTCTATTTGAAATGAAATTAACGTTTTACTGATTACTGAATTGCGCATCATAATGGCACAGGGAATTACAGTAACAAAATGGTGGGTAATAAAGGAGGGCCTCACACACACACACGCGCGCGAGTTTCTGTGTGCGGGAAACGGAAAGTGATAGGTATTATCATATTTTGCGGCGGTTTTCCTGGCTCTGCAGATACCGAGCCAACAGAAACCACTACAATGGGCATAATCTGTGATCCCGTCAATAATTTCATTTGACATGACGTCAACAAATACCCTCTTGTGTGAGTACTAGGCAGGACAGTTGAACAAAACCAAAAATGCTTTTGCATTATTTAGCACAAACATTCTCAAGTGGTGTACGGAGAAGGAGCCTTCATTTGCTAAGCAATAGCTCCGAGTGATGGCAATGTATGGACGCGACACAAGCCGAGCTACGTGTACTGTTTGTACTGGCAGACGTATAGTCAGTGTGAGGTACGCACCTTGCGCGCTCCAGCCGGGCGGCGCCACTCCATAGAAAGCTTCACACAAAGCGAACGGTTAGTTAGCACGTGGCCCTTGTTGTTAGCTCGTTAGTTAGTTAATTAGTTAATTACAGAGTGCACACGCGGCCCGTGGGCGCGAACTAGTATACTTGGAATTACTTTATACATCAATGCGTCATCATAGTCTTCGTACATATAAGTGGATGTTGTGGCACTATTCAATCATAAAAATAATACTGCCAAGTGAGGCGGGTTAGTCCCTAAAAAAACTCCTAAAACCGCTTCAACTCTACAGGATCTGCACTAGATATAACTATGAAAACACCGAAACACTGAAGTCCGGCGCGTCGTAGGCACATTGGACAACTGGGTCCCTTACCGAAATAAATCAGAAGAATTTGTGGAGAGGTAAAAACGAAATAGTTTCTACTTCCGTCGGTAAATTAAATTCAGGAGACAGAATTATTTAAGCCCTAAAAGCAAACAACTGCGCCGCATATCGCAACACTGTACATATTATCCACACTAGTTGCAGGGCTCAGTGTCCAGCCTCGCTTCTAGCCCCCAGCGGGTACTGCCGAGCTACACTGTGACAATTCAAGCCAGGTGAAGGTATTCAGGGTCAGTGAGTCGTCTTAGTAGCTCATGCGGAAACATTACGATCCCTACGTGGACCGCAACGCGTCGCTGATAATGCGTTTTTTTATGGTATGGTATAGGTTGGCAACCGAGCAGACGCATTACCTGGTGGTAAGCAATCAGCGCCGCCCATGGACACCCGCGACACCAAAGGAGTTACGAGTGCGTTGCCGACCTCGAGTGCGTTGTCAGCCTTTAGGGATCGGGCACGCTACCATAGCAGCGGTAAGACCCCTCTTTGAGGAGTGGCTTGAGAGACGCCACGGCGTCCTCACCTTCCGTCTGACGCAGGTGCTTACCGGGCACGGCAGCTTCGGTAGGTTCCTGTTTCGGATCCAGCGGGAGGAAACGCCAGAGTGTCGTCATTGTGAGGACCACCTAGAGGATACGGTGGAGCATACGGTAGCGGTATGCCCTGCCTGGGCTGAGCACCGCCGTATCCTCAGGGAAGTGATCGGCGGCGGCGACCTCTCGCGCCCGGCGTTAGTCGAGGCCATGGTGCGGAGTGAGAGGAACTGGGACGCCGTCTCCTCCTTTTGTGAAGCATTCATGCTCGCAAAGAGAGAGGCGGCCCGCGTGAGGGAGCAATCCTCCTCCTCACGCCCCAGCAGCCGCAACTGGCGACACTACGGGCATCGGGGATCGAGGGACGATCTCCGGCCACCGTAAGCACGGGCCTGCGGTCGGCGAGTAAGGGCAGCTCGCCGCCCGACCAGAACCAGGCCCGAGCGTACGGCGCGTAGCGTTCCACGCGCGCCTCAAAGAGCCGTTAGACCACCACAGACGGGGCCCTAAAGGGCTGATGTTCAGCCGGGGTTGCGGGGTAAGCGCAATGAGGCACCGCGACTTCGGCACAGAGCAGGAGAAGGAACAGGGGGGTTTTTAGTCAGTAAGAGTCTGACACTCCCTCCTGCCCGGCCCTGGGCGGGAGAAGTCATTTGATGATTTTCCCCTCACAAAAAAAAAAGCCTTTAGGGATAAGGGTTTCAGATATTTAAGATTGGGAAGAGATGGGGAGGGAAAGGGATTGGGCCTCCGGTAACCTTACTCACACGGCGAAACACAACGCTGTGGGTTTTCTTTGTGGCCGTAGTATGACTCCGGTCGAGCCGACCCATTCGTGTCGACGCTTGGCTCTCCCACACTTGCATTGCGTTGCGTTGCAGAAGATGTACGCTATTGTTCCCCAAAATTTGCACCCGGAGCTCTCTGAGCAGACTGCGAGCAGTAACGTTACGGTACTCAGTGAGGGCGAGGTGCTTCCCCAGTACAGCTCACCGCACTTGTAACGCGTGCACCCAACCATTGATAAAATGAACCAACATTTCCCTGATATGAATTTTTTTCTTCATAGGTGGAGAGTGGGATAATGACAAACGGTTTGACTGTATTGTTTCGCATTTATGAGTCTGAATGAATAAAGTTTGAATACCAAGAAGACAGTGAGAACCGAAACGCAAAAAGAGGTTTTTTGTAAAAGTCATCAAATGATTTTTCAATGGGAATGTCACTCTTAATGAGTAAAAACGCCCCCGTTGTTTATCCAGCTCTGGGCCGAGGTCGCGGTGCCTCATTGCCCTTAGCCCGCAACCCCGTAGGTATATTACACGGACCTAAGTAATCAGGAAGGAAGCCTCTTCCTTTGTAACCTTCACGTAAGGTTGGGATGGAGGTACCCAACAAAAGTACATTTTATTTACTGGACAGTTAGCGCGGTGGCTGGACAACTGGCTGCCGCGCAACAACTCTTTGTGCGATTTACAAATTGTTGTTTCGGGTCTGGGTGCGAATGTGCGATGTGACATTGTATTTTAATAAAGGCACGCACGGCAAAGGAGAAAATACTAATATACCTAAAAAATAAATTTGATAATTAAAAGTTTTCGGCCGTCCTCCGTACCACTGACATGTACCTACATAGTGCGTGTAACTGTAGACTACACATTCGCTGTATATGTGTTTACCTACATATACACACATAGTATGCGAGTCACAAAAACAAGTTGAGTGCGCCGCGTGACGTCACGAGCCGTCTTACTCACGCGATCACTTCGGCTGTCGCGTCAATCAAACAATATCAATATTATCTACACATATAGCATGATATGTACATCTGAACAGTTTGTTCGGGGGACCGCACACCGCCCTCCGGGTGTACTAGCTCGCGTGCCCTCGCGGCCACGTGTGAGACCGACGTTTTGTGAAACATCATTATTTGTAATTGAAGCATTGTTGCGCAAGGAATATTCAATAACCGAAGCATCACTCTGCACCTCGCGTACTACCTCACTCAATGCTAGCGTTGCAATGCTGCAGATGTCGACTCAGTCTCTGTAGTCAAACAATGTATTATGAATGACTTGCTTACCCGTGACATCGGGTGCTGTGGGCGCTGGCAGTGGGTACGGGGATGCCGCAGGCGCCGCTGACGTCGGGTAAGGTGCCGTCGTGGGGTAAGGAGCGCCTGTAGGGTAGGGCGCCCCCGTGGGGTATGGTGCCCCTGTAGGGTAAGGCGCAGCTGCGGGATAGGGCGCTACCGGCGGGTACGGCGCGGCCGCGGGGTAAGCCCCCGTGACCGGGTACACGGTCACTGCGGGCGCTGTAAACAAAGTGGCGGGTCAGTGGCGGGGCGGGAGCGAGAGTAGCGCGTGGCGGCGGCCGCGGGTACCTGGCAGGCGCGGGTCGGGCGCGGCCGGCGCGTACTGCTGGCGCGGGTAGGGCGCGGCGCCTTCGTCTGGCGGCGGGGCTGTAACACACACAGACGGGCTGCAGTGACCAGCGCGGGGCGCGGCGGCCCAGGCAGGGGGCGGGTACTCAGTTACTCACGCGCGATGACGCGGCCGCGGGACTTGCTGCGACAGCAGCAGCGACACAGCAGCGCCAGCAGCAGCGCGGCCAGCACGCCGCAGCCCAGCCACCACACCAGCTCCATGGGGGGAGGGGGGCGCGGCCCTCCGTGCCGCTCCTACACACACACACACACTACACGTCCTGTAAACACTCCACCGGAACTTGCGGCCCGCGATAACACGCCCAGCTGTACTGGCTCCCTACACAATACTGTGTGACATTATTGCAAACCATAGACTAGTGTATTGCAGCAGAATCCCGTCTGACTGTAACTCTGGCACCATTCTAGGTAGTATACAATACATTGGTCCCCAACACAAACCATCAACAGATCAGATGGTCAATATGAACAGTGTAGTTACTGTACGGTTATTGTCATCACTTATTTGCTATGAGCTCTACTGGGAATTAAGTGACATAACAAAACTAGTCAGTCAGTGGCAATTAAGGAGTTATTAAAAATACAATTTATTGAAAATAAGAACTAAATTAACTGTGGGTGGAATGCAGCTAGCTAAGCTAGTTTCAAGTAATGGGGCACTTATTTATTCTCAGCGTAGTTGTGTCTATGACAGATTATGTACAAAAAACTTACAAGTGATAGGAGTAAGCCACAAGTTAGTAATTCAGTTGTGGGACACACGGATAACTAGTGTTGCACACAGTATGTAACTAAGTCACACCACACTCTACAGCCCTCCACTGTACAAAGCACATACCACTCAGTGGGGGAGCAGAGCTACGCGTACACTATACACTGCAACAACAAGTGACAGTGGTGCCCTGCTATACTACAGCGGTTGTCTGCAGCGGACTAGAGCGCGGCGCCAGCTGTACCCGCGCGGTATCTGCGCGACCAATTCCTAATCAAACAGTAATTAGTCCTTACGCCGAGATATGGCGATAACTGTATCAGTGTGCAGAGCGGCAGTGTTAGTCAAGCGGCACTTTGTCGCCTGACGTCAGCGCCAGCGACCTCACGTACCTTGAAAAACTCGTCGACGTCGAGCTCATTCGACTCGAACATCACGCAATAACGACACAATAACAGTGATGAACTGATGACACAGCGCTGACCGCGCTCCGCTACGCACCGACTGTGGCTGTATCGCTGGACGACTGTAGTACAGTGCGCGCGATACTACTCTCAGGTCTCATCTGACTCGCATCCGACCTACGAGCCATGAGTCATGCCAGTGGACAATCGCACTGAGTGTTCTCAACACGGGGTTTTCCTTTCCAGATAATACAAGGAAGTGATAAAGCTTAAAAAGTACCTACAATGATTTTAATGTGTACTACTAAAATTGTCCTTTCAATTTTATCTTAGGACGGAAACTGAATTATCTAATCTACTGAACTAGATATAAAACATACACAATCACAAGGAGAAAAATCAAAAACATTTTCTATTGACATACCTATTTATAAATAAATAAAAACGTCCCAGCTAATGCTACCTCGTCTGTATTCCTTGTTTGTCCTGTCACTTGTCATTTAATTTTGACTTGTTTGTTCCGCCTGTTGTATGCTAGTGTTGTACCCACTACGGTGGTCACTGCACACCGTTTCTGTCAAGTGTCAAATTGGAATCACAATATAAAAAAACTAAACAAACTAAAAATGACCCCCGTGGGGCAACGCACATCGTGTGTGGATTGGAATATTTTGTCATCGAGTTCATCAGAAGCTACTAAATCTGATTGATTCTTAAAGTGTTTACTCTTAATCTGCATCTGTAGTAAGAAACATAACATATCGGGCAGTATGAATGATGATAAATTAAGTTACGATGAAAATGGCATTTAGAAGATCTTATAAATAAAAATGAATTTTATTAGTCTCGCTATAACTCGAGCAAGTTGGACTGATTTGACTAAAATATTGTTAAAATCCAGGGTAAGCTTAAGTTTGAAGTGAAATCAGCTTCTCTTTATTTATTTTTTCTTTGAATCAATTTATAAAATAGAGACAAGACATTTAAACACCATATTATAAGGTCAATAATACATTTTACTACTAGAAGTCTGTTAAATATTTACGACTTTTTTCTTCAGTGGCAACTAATCAAAATATTTATAACATGAACGTCAAACAAATGTTAGAGAAATAAAAAATGTTAGAGAATTGTCACTGTCAATACTGTCATTGTCAAATGTCAAATCAGAACTGTCTGCCCGTGCAGTGTGACTGTGAAGTGTGTAGGTACTGTGTAGTGTGCAGCTCAGTACCTTTTCTTAAACAGTTTAATGGTTATAACCTTTTCTATGCCAGGAATTAGTTAAGCGTGTATTTTATTGTTTTAACTTTCAGATAAGAAGTGATCATTGCAGTTAATATTACCTCCACAATGAGTTCTGGATTCCTAAGTCGCGCGTTCTTGCCTTTGCGGCAAGTGATCACAACTCAGACATCACACTTGCACAGCTCAGCTGTTACATATGCTGCTGTAAAGAAAACTACTTCCGCAGCTGGAGGTGCGTACCGCGTACAGAGGCATGACAATCTGTGCAAGTCTTAATGTACAAAGGTAGCGTGGCGCTCAGCGGTGCTAATGTTGCGTCTTGTCCAGGTGTAATGGGGCTGGGGAAGGGCAAGAAAAAAGTCGGCAAGCTAGGCGCCATGGAAAAGAAGGAAATGCCTGTAGAGACAGACCCACACAAGCTCGTTAACTATGTGTGTGGCTCCAACATCTATACCACAGGAGAGGATGTCAAGGTGAGCCAGCAGAGTTGGGTGTTCAATGAGTGGACTTGTTATTTCCACTGGCGACTGTCTGTTAGCAGAACTTCTGGAGTTTGCTATTTATTTTTACCTTCATGAACAGGAGAATGTTCTTATGTCAATAAGAATTTCAGTGCTCAGTAACAAATTCAGAAAATAGTTTGTGGAACATATTTATGCCTATTTGTTTTAACATTTATGCAGGATTTTCCAACAGTTACTAGTTTTATAAAACTAAAAAAAACAAAGAATTTAGTTGAATTCCTAAATTTTAATTTATTGTAGAATAAAGGGAATAGGTTGGCAATTACAAATGAAAAATGATATCTGGCAAATGGCCCTCTCTTCACTTTTTGGCCAAATTAAATGAATTTGATTGGCTCCATATAGATTCCATCCTTAAAACAAAAAAAATAATTCAGTGGTGTTAAAACAAATGACCTGGCCGGCCACTTACAGCCTAATTTTGAGAAATTAAGCAAATGGGAAATTTGGTTTGCAACAAATTGATTGTTTCATTCGCTGTGGAACTTGTGCCACTATCCTGTTGTCCCCGTCATCAATAATACGACAATAGAATAATCCAATGACCAGCTCTACCAGCCAGAAAAAATTCCTAGTGCTCCATACTGTGACATAAAATATGGAGCATTCAAAAGCTTTCAATAATTGCTCTTTCATTTACCAATAATTAGGTTTGTTAGATGTTGTAGGAATGTTACACACTCAGTTTACTTCCTAGCTTTTTTGGTTTTTATAGGGTTTAGTATTTTTAATGTTTTTTTTTTTTTTTACTTGCAATAAACCCGTGCTTGACTGCGATCCCACCTGATGTTAAGCAGTGATGCAATCGTTGATGGTAAGGCGCACTAGTTTATTAAGAGCCTATTCACTCTAGCCTTGAAGACACCTAAGTTGTATTCGGACGGAAAGACTGCAGCCGGCAAACTGTTCCAATCCATATAATTATATTTATATAATGTTTTCCCATAATAATTGTGTACTTTTTTGTTGGCCGATTGTGCTATATTGTAATGTTTATATTTATGATCAAAGTTATAATTTTCCAAAAATTTAATGCAACTATTAAAATGCTATCTATTTCGATCCCAACACCATCTAATGAGGTCAAGGATAACTTTACGAGTTACTTGTTAGCAGTACATTGTCTGGTAGCTGGTTCCATACTCTGATCACACAATTGATAAGGCAGAAAGAATGTTTAGTTACGTAGAGAGTGTGTGGTGTAGTTGCAGGAGGACGGCGCGTACCCGGCGTGGCTGTGGGAGCTGCGCGTGGGGCGCGCGCCGGCGCTGCACGAGCTGGCGCCCGACTCCAAGCGGTACTGGCTGCGCGTCCGCACCGCCGCCATGCGGCGCAACAACAAGCTGCGCGCCATGCGCAAGTTCTAGGAGTACTAGCGACCTGACTAGCTGTAGCTACGTGTAAATATTAGGTAGACAATAATACGCAACCTGTACAAATATACCATTTATTACATTCACAAAGACTTTCAATCTTAAATCACAAAATTATTTTTATACTGTCTATACAAGATTGATTCCTCACACCTCCCAGTACAAATAAAGGTGATTTGTTAATATTTAATCAAAAACAGCTTTTATACAAATTATTTTTATGACTTACAGTAGAGAAAATACCACTCGATCTACTACTTTTTTTAATAATGAACCAGCTATAGGCATAGACACTGCTACAAACAATTTCTAGCGAGTCACAAAGTATCAAATCGGAAAATACAGTACAACGTGAACAATTTATGCCAACATTACAGTTCTAATAGGACAGGACGGTACGTCATTATACTCGAGCATTTTATTTTATGAACCGGGACTGGCACGCGGGCAGCCCTCGAGGCCCGACTGCAGGTACGGCAGACGCTACAGGCAGTCCATCGTGTCCTCCTTGATAATCATCGGCGGCGCGTAGTCCCCGTGTTTGGTGCCGAATGAGTACGAGTACGGGTTCTGGAACAGAAACATGGCGCGGTCACTCCCACACTCCGTGCAGTCTCGTCACTCGCGCTGCACGACGCACTCACCTTCTTAGTGTTGTAGAGGTTGGGTGGGTAGGCGGCGGGCCCCGGCGTCCTCGTGGCCTTGCCGGCCCCCTCCAGCCGCGCGCCCAGCGAGTACACGGGCTGCCTGTGGACACACGACTCGTTACTCGGCCGCAGTGGGGGGAGGGGGGTCACATAGTGTGTGGCTGTACTCACTTGCACTTGTACACGTTGGTGTCGCGCTGGAAGTACACGGCCGGGCCCGGAGACTTCGCCTTGGGCATGAAGCCGACGCGCGCGCCCATGGTGTAGGCGGGCGTGCCGGGGCCCAGGCGCAGCGCGTACGTGTTGGGCGCGGGCCCCGGCCGCTTGAGCGTGAAGCCGAGGCGCGCGCCCATGGAGTAGACGGGCGCGCGCGGCTCGCGCATAGGCGGGCAGCGCTCGGGCGCGTGCGCGCCGGGGCCCGGCGTGCGCAGCGTGCCGCGGACGGGGAAGCGCGCGCCGAACGACCACGCCGGCGCAGACATGGCGCCGTCGCGCGTCACGCGCTCGATGCGGTACGCGGGCCCCGGGCCCAGCCCGCGCACGCGGTACCCCGCGTTGGTGCCGAACGAGTACATGGGGTTGCGGTAGCGCGACGGGTCGTGCTGCGTGTAGCCCACCGTCGTGGGCAGCTGGTACGCGCCCGGCCCGGGGCCTGCAACGGGGCGGGTCGTCACATGTCGCTATGTCGCGGCCCACTACGGCGCTGCTACGCTGCGGTACTCACCCAGTGGTTTCTTGGACATGGCGTGTGCTTGTGACTGCGGTTGTGTTTATATTTTACAAAAATTTTGTCTTTCAATATTCATGTGCGTTGTGTTGACTACGGTAATTTTGACATATCGCTCAGTCGGCCACGACGCGGCTGACGTTTCGAACAAATGAACTTTCAAACGTGGAAACTGCGCGACGCAGCCACAGTAAGCAGTGCGCGGACACTGCGCCGCCCTCGGCCAGCGCCCGGCGCTACCGGGTCGAGGTGCTGGTATGTGTATATTACCTACCTAACATGTACATAATTATCTATTAATGTTAACTAGCAGCTACTGAAATAACAATAATTTTGGTTCCTGTTTATCATTATGACCACCACCTTTGCTTTGCTCTATGGCTGCGGTATGTTATCAATTACTTTGTAATTCCTATACAATGTAACCGCTTAGCATCCTCAGTTTGCAAGCAGACTAGCAAAAGCTGTGTGTGTGTGTGTGTGTGTGTGTGTGTTGTGTTAGTAGTGTTGCGGAGACGTCGCCCGGGGCGCTACTGGCGCGGCGCCAGCGGCAGGCGCTCGGCGTCAGCGTCGGACTCCGCGTCCTCTTCCTCCGGCGTGCTGGCGCCCCACTGTGACACACGGACACCGTGTCGTTAATTTCTATGGTACCTATAGCCAAGGGCGGATCCAGCTTTGGCACCAGGAGGGGATCAGGTAGTCGGGCTCAAGTCAAAAATGTAAAACTTAAACTTTGTGACAATAGATACAAGTAAAAAGTAGGTATTTTATGGATGTACGACTGTCCCTAACTAACTGCACACTTGGATTAGTGGCTGGGCAACTGGGTGCAGTGCAACGTGTCGCGAGTTCGAAAAGATCTTTCTGCTGTCGTTACACTGTTACTGCCACCACCGCTAATGTACTACGTGTGTAATAAGTACATAAATATTTTCCGAATATTAGTAATCAGCTGTGGTGTGGCTCATGACTCCGCTGCAGCGCCTGCCACTTCAGCATCCACAGCCGAATTAAATTTATGAAAAACCTGGAGTGTTATCAAATAATATGTATTTTCGTTAGCTAGTTGTCTCATTTCAAGTCCTCTCCCCTTCCCTTCTGGACCTCCTCTCCCCTACCCTTCCTTGAAATCGCTTAATATTATTGAATCTAGAAGAGAGTGAAGGGCCGCCTGACTGTCTGTCGGGCCAATACCTGTTGGGAGGATTTTTTTTTTGTGAGGGGAAAATCATCAAATAACTTCTCCCGCCCAGGGCCGGGCAGGAGGGAGTGGCAGACTCTTACTGACTAAAACCCCCCCTGTTCCTTCTCCTGCTCTGTGCCGAGGTCGCGGTGCCTCATTGCGCTTACCCCGCAACCCCGGCTGAACATCAGCCCTTAGGGCCCCGTCTGTGGGGTCTAATGGCTCTTTGAGGCGCGCGCGGAACGCTACGCGCCGTACGCTCGAGCCTGGTTCGTGAGAGGACTAGCGGGAGTTACGGTGGAGCATAAGCTAGCGATAGACAGAGACATTCCAGGCTTAAGGGATGACGAGACGGTCTCCGGCCGCCGTAAGCGCGGGTCTGCGGACGGCTATCAAGGGTTGTTCGCCACTTGACCAAATCCTGTTGAAGAAAGTGATTACCACGCTAGCAGAATACACACACACACATACACACACACCTGCCGGGACAGCGGGTGCGCGGCGAGGGCGCGGTAGAGGTAGGCCACGTAGAGCAGGTTGAGCACTCCCAGCGTGCGCATGGCCGTCTCGAAGCCCACGCACCAGGCCACGGCGCCGCCCAGCACTGGGCCTAGCGCGTACGCGGCGCTGGACGCGGCCTGCAGCAGCGCGGCGACGTGCGCCTCGCGGCCGGCGTGGCGCGCCAGCAGCGCCGGCACCAGCGCCGCGTCGGCCGCGCCCAGCCCCGCGCCCAGCGCCGCGTGCGGGCCCACCAGCGCCGCCACGGACCGCGCGTGCGGCACGGCCAGCGCCGCCAGCGCCACGCCCAGCTGCCCCGCCAGCGCCACGCGCTCGGCGCCCAGCCGCCGCGCCGCGCCGCCCAGCAGGCTGGCGGCCAGCAGGTAGGCGGCCGAGTCGGGCACGAAGACGGCGCCGGTGAGCCAGCGCTGCGCGTGGAACTTGTGCGTGAGCCACAGCGGCAGACAGGGCTCCAGCGCCGCCATGACGCTCGTCGTCAGCAGCACGGCGCCGGCGCACGCGCCCGCCGCGCCGCGCCCCGCCAGCGCCCGCACGCCGCGCCACGACACGCCGCCCGCCGCCTCCTCGCACGCCTGCGGGCCACGCGTCTACACTCGCGTCTTGTGCTATATCAAACACTGCCGTACCATCCTTTACCGCAACTATTTCGCCGCATTTTCAGGCCCCTATTTCAGAACCTCTGGATAAAACCAGAACGCAGAAATTTTCGTCATCCAGTAAGCTATATACTTAGTCGGGTCATAAGTTCTGTCAAAACCTTATATTTTTAATTTTCGATTACTGGCCAGAAATTCTTCGACTTATTTTAAAAATAGAACTTTCGCGCTTGTAGAAAATAAAAAAGAAATTATTTTTTATTCATTTTTAAATATGGAGTGGTCGAATAAAGAAGACAGAATCGCGGTTATCGCGTTGCACCGCTGTGGTTACGCGCCAAAAGACATTTTCAATATTCTTCAAAATTTGAAAATAACGTTACGGTTTGTTTATCGTACTATCAAACGATACACCGAAGAGTCAAGCTTCGAAGATCGTAAGAGAAGCGGCCGACCTCGCACAGTTCGGACACATAAGGTCATCAAAGCAGTGAAGGCGCGAATCGAACGAAATCCCGTACGTAAACAAAAAATCCTAGCTCTGCAGATGGGGCTAAGCAGAACCACTGTTAAAAGAGTACTAAATGAAGACCTGGGACTACGAGCTTATCGTAAAAAGACAGGACATTTTTTGAACGAGCGTTTAAAAAAAAATTAGGCTAGACAGATCCCGCGCTTTGCTACGACGGTACGCGGGAAAAAAATACCGCGAAATTCTTTTTTCGGATGAAAAAATTTTTACTATTGAAGAAAGTTTTAACAAACAAAATGATAAGGTGTATGCCCACAGCAGTGAAGAAGCAAGCGCGCGTATTGCGAGGGTCCAGCGTGGGCATTACCCTTCCTCATTCATGGTTTGGCTTGGAGTCTCATATTCAGGCGTAACTGAGGTGTTTTTCTGTGAAAAAGGTGTGAGAACTAGTGCCGAAGTTTATCAAAATACTGTCCTAACAAACATAGTGGAACCTCTTTCTCAGACAATGTTCAGGAACAGGCATTGGATATTCCAACAGGACTCTGCACCGGCTCATAAGGCACGAAGTACGCAAGACTGGTTGATCGCTCGTGGAATTGACTTCATCCGGCATGAAGACTGGCCCTCTTCTAGTCCAGATTTAAACCCACTGGACTACAAGATATGGCAATATTTGGAGGAAAAAGTCTGTGCTAAACCTCACCCGAATTTGGAGTCTCTCCGAGCATCTCTGGTTAAAGCAGCGGCAGACATAGATATGAATGTGGTGCGTGCAGCGATCGATGACTGGCCGCGTAGATTAAGGGCATGTGTTCAAAATGGGGGAGGGCATTTCGAATAATGTAAATAAAATTATATTGTACATTTAATGACCTTTCATTTCATATATAATTTTTAAATAATTGTCAAAAGGCGTATAAGTTATTACATCAAAAGTTTGTGACAGAACTTATGACCCGACTAAGTATATATAATGCTTAAAATCGAATCGAATTTCAAATCAAGGTACAGGTCGTTTAGTTCCGAAGTTAAGCGAAAGCTAAGTTTCGCATGTATGACACTCACTCACTCATGATCAACAAAATAGAGCTATAGTACTTCCCATAACCTCAGAGTGCTGAAGGGTACAGAGTTAGCGTTTTATAAAAACTAAAATAGCCAAGTCTAAGGTTCGTTTACCCTTCAACGGCTGAGTCACACAACATTAACTATACATATTAATAACGAAATCGTAACAAGGAACCTTACACTTGGCACGACTTCGTTATAATTATTTCATTACTTTTTAGAAAAATCTTTTTACAGAACGTTTAATTAAACATTCTGTAAAAAAGATTTTTCCCCACATTAGTATTTTCTTCTGCGTTCTGAGTGAGTTTACAAACATAATGTTTTCACATACGCATCATACAACAATATGTGGATCGGATAAAGAGTCAGAGTTGTTCCGTGCGGGAATCGAACCCGCGAACCGTTGCGGCATCCACCGCGCCAACCGTGCAGTCAATCGTCTGAACATTAATTACAACGGCACAAACTACGTTTAGGTAATTGGTGAACGAGAACACTAAAAACTTTACGTGCCGTAAACGATTTATCGCTTGTGAATACATAACACAAGTACATTATTCATAAAAGTAAAAACAAGACTAGAGCATAGTATAAGTAGGTACCTATACTAGTAACAATAACTGCGTTAATGGTCTCCTTCTGCGAAGATGACTTCGCTGAATAATGTTCGGTTCCTTCCTTGACCAAGTAAACTTAGTACCTACGAGTAGCTCGTGTACTGTGGGAGCCAGCGTTACAAGTTCCTTCAACCCACTCAATGCAGTACTGGGGGTGACTGCACCGCTGGCGCGATGGCTCAGATCAGCAATCGCGCAACGTGTTGCGGGTTCAATTCCTACACGAAACAACTCTTTGTGTGATCCACAAATTGTAGTTCCAGGTTTGATTGTCATATCCGTCCCCCACCTCACGGACCTCAGTTCGCTAAGCACTAATTGCTCAATCATTTTGATGCTCGCTAAGGAGGCGGAGGGAACTGTCCTCCTCTTGCCCTAACCGCCACAGAAGAAGACACCCCGTTCGTCAAGATCGAGATATGATCTCCGGCCACCGTAAGTGTGGGCCTGCGGACGACCGACCAGAGCCAGACCCGAGGGTATGGCGCGTGCCTCATATAACCATTAGACCACCACAGATGGCGCCTAACAGAGCCTAAGTGCAGCGGAGGTGGCAAACGCAAGAAGATACGCAGAGCAGGAGGAGGAACGACGTGGGTTTTAGTCAGCGAGCAGAGGTTGGCACTCCCTCTCGCCTTCACATGGGCCAGAGAAGTAATTTGATGATTTTGTCCCGAAATAAACACGTATTCTTATTTGGTTACCGTAAGTTACAATTAATATTAGTAATCATACTTAAAACAATAGTTAAGTATGTCGCGGTGTGTTTTTATTTTCTACCATTTGCAGAGTGTAGGCAGCGGTGGCATTTAGTCACGTATAAATAAAGTTATTTGTAACATTATGTTCTGAGGAGCTTGGGAGATGAACAACTGCAGCGAGTACTCACGCGATTGTACTCCTCCTTGTCTAGGAACACGTACTGCAGGCCTGAAACACCAGTAGACTCGTGCTCAGTACTAGTGGCGGGGACTCGAGGACCCGCGGCCGCAGCCATCTCACCCAGGTCCGCCAGCAGCGCCGCCGCTATCAGCAGGAAGGGCGCGCCGCGGCTCCACAGCGCGTACGTGGCCCCGCCGAACGGGTAGCCCACCAGCACGCCTGCAACACCCGCGCTCGCTGTACTGCCGCTGCCGGGCCCCGCCGCGGCGGCTGCAGCGCCTGCTTACCCAGCGCGACGGCCCCCAGCAGCGCTCCGATGGCGCGGTCCCGCTGCGACGCGGGCAGCGCGCGCGCCGCCAGCGCCAGCCCCGCCACGGCGGCCAGCGCCGCGCCTGCGCCGTGCGCCGCGCGCCCCGCCGCCACCACCAGCGCCGCGCGCCACCCGCCGCGACCGCTCACGCACGCGAACACTGCGCACACGCCCCGTCAGCCGCGCGCCGCGCCCCGCCCGCCCCGCCCGCCCCGCCCCGCACGTACCCACGGCGGCGCCGGCCAGCGTGGCGGTGGCGGCGCGGAGCACGGGCGCGGCGCCGCGGCGACACACGGCGGCGCCGGCCAGCGGCGCGGCCAGCAGCTGCGCGGCCGCCTTGGCGCCCAGCACGACGCCCACCACGGCCTGCGACGCGCCGCCCGCACCGCCCGCGCCCTCTGTCTCACACACACACTACACGCTCGCTCCGGTTAAAAGATTAATTAAAAGAAATACTTTTTTGTTTGCGTTTTCTCCGGCGTCGTGTTTAGGAATCTCCCAACCTAACTAACTATATTGTACATAGATATCGTGAAGTCGCGGATTAGAGCACGTCAGCATGTAGGTACCTCAAATATTCCGCAAAGAGCCAACAACTACTACAGACTGCCCACACGGCGGCGCCACGACTGGGAAAGCATTATGACATACTGTGGCCCGGTAACAGTTGAAACGTGGAGGACTATCAAATACCAAATAATAAAAACGAATAAACAATACTAAATACCAATATTCCTTTTATTTAAACATTTATAGGATAGGTAAACATAATTTTATATCTCGGGGCTGTCCTTACATTCTCCAAATATGTACTTAATGTCGGTAAACCTTCACACTGACTAGTAAAACCTAATACTTACCTATAGCAAACGGACAATACTAATAAATTCATGTACGGTACAATTCATGTTACGTGTGTTATTATGTAGAATGTACAGCCAACATCAAACGCGTGTGCGCGTGGCGTTTAAAGTGTGGAGAGCCAATAGGCTCGACCGGAGTCATACTACGGTTACAAAGAAAACCGGCGTGAAACAACCACAGCGGTGTTTCGACGTGTGAGTGAGGTTACCGGAAGCACTTACAGGTGTCCATAGGCGGCGCCGATTGAAAATAAAACAAGCGTGACCATGTTTATAGTGTAAGTGAGGTGTACCGGCGGCGACAGCGCGCTGCGCGGTGTGGTTGAGCAGGCTGGCCAGCGGCGCGTCCTGCGTCGTCCACAGCGCCAGCGCCTCGCCGCGCACCCAGTCCGGGATGATGGGCACTGCACACAGACACACGCTGAGCGAGGCGGCGCCGGCGGGGGGCCGCGCGGGGCGGGCACTCACCCAGCACCGTGAGCAGCACGTTGTCCAGGAAGAAGGTGAAGTAGATGAGAGCGAAGGCCGCGGCCCCGCCGTCCGCGCGCGCCTCGCCCGCCGCCTGCATCGCGCGCCGCCCGCCCAGCTACTGCCGCGAAGCGCGGCGCGATCCAATCAGCGCGCAGCGGCGCGTGTGCGCTTCCTCATTCAATTTTCTGGTGAGCGCACAGTAATGGCGCCCAACGTGGTACTCGCTGATAGCGATAACGACGCCACATCCCATTATGTTACAATCGCTTATTGTGCACCCTGCCCTGACACTTGTGACGTACGAATGCTATACTAGCCGCTGCCAGCGGTTACGCCTGCAGAATTTTCCCAAGAGTAGCGAGAGGAAAGTATTGGAGTGCTAGTCGGTTGTTCCTACTCCACACTGCTAGAAGGTTGCACGCCTTTATACCGAGTGCGGTACTAGACAACTAGTCAACACTACTTTCTATCAACTTGGTGCGCGACGTAGGTATTTGTTGATAAATGTGATCATCAGATAATGAAGTACGATCGTTCCTTTAACACTTTAGACCAGTAATTATGTATTTTTGATCAAGTCAAATTCGCGTAGTTATTATTGTAACTAGATTTATTCTATTCTATCCACCTACGTAAGTAAGTGTAGGAAGCTTAATGTGAGCTTTAGAGAATTTTTAAGGGGGATGATAATCATGTAATGTGTTGTCTGCTCCAGCCCGGACCGCGCTACATGGTCACGCAAACTTGGCTGAACATCTCTTTATATCTGTGGTCGTCTAATGTGTATGAGGGCGCGCGCCGAATTCTGGTCGGGTGGCGAGCTAGTGTAGGTCCGCAGACCGGTGTTTAACGTGGCAGCGTCGCTTAAATAACTTTTATTTCTTATTAACAAAGACTAAAATGTCCAGATTTTTTTGGTAGGTAAGTACATCCTAGCTTCAAACAGAACGACTTATGTTGCGCCGAAGATATATGTTGTAGGTAAAAAAGTGCAGTTAAATATAATCCACGCAAGTTATGTCCCTATAGCTCTCACAGCCTCCCTCATAATGCCTCACGGACTGAAATGAATGGCAATTGTATCTGGATTGGATAACAAATGTAATTATCAGGAGCCGGCTCGCGACAGACGCGACACGCGACAGCGCGCAGCTGCTCCACGCTGAGTGGGTAGATACAACGATTTAGGCTCCACTCAACAGAAAGCTCACTTGACGAAAGTACAAACTATCTTTATACCAATCAATAAATTTAGGTGAAATTGCAAAAACATTTGCAAGCACATCGAATAGAAGATGAGTACTTACTTAGTCTAAATTCTAAACAAAAAAAAGAAAATAAATAAATACAAAGATAATCAATCGGAGGGTATTTGTTAGGACATATCGTGTCAAACGAGAACACGGATCACCTGCCGGTCTTTACAGATGTAGCCCTTGGAACACCTGGGGCTGGCGAGGAGCATTGGCATGGATTGAGCTTCTGGTAAACTCAGTCTCACGGTGAAACTAGCTAAGTGCGGGAGAGCCGTGCTTCGGCATGAATGGGTCGGCTTAACCGGAGTGGTATGATGGTTTCACAGCCTCGCGGAAAATCAGCGTCTAACAACTACAGCGTTGTGTTTAGCCATGTGAGTGACGTTACCGGAACTTCTTCCCTCCCTCAATCCCTAAATCTCCAAAACCCTAATCCTCAAAAAGATGGCAACGTATTCGTAACTCCTCCGTTGTTGCGCGGCGATTGCTCACCATCAGGTAATCCGTCGTTCATTTGCCGCCCTACCACATATAAAAGCCACAACAGAATTGTGTTGTTTAGCCGGTTTTCCGTGAGACCGGCCGTCGGCGTGTCAAAATATTGCATTAATTAGTCGAAATATATTGCTATTAACCAACTTCCAAAAATGGGGGAGGTTTCTCAATTCGAGCCGAACCTGTGGCCGAATTAACATTTTTTGTTTATTCGGACATAATAAGTACTTAGCTTCGTTGTTTATGAGCCATGCTTTGTTTGAAAGCGTATACTTACTACTAGGTCTGGACCTGATGATTGCAAGCAGGAGTTGAGAGAAACAAAGCTCCACACGACACGAGTCACCATTTATTACTGCCTCTAATCTGACATGTTACATAATACATATTAATTTGTCGATCCACTACAATTTTCTTTTGCTGAAAGGCAATCGACAGAAAGTTCTTGACGGTTTACCGCAACGTCTTGGTGTTTGGACTTGATAACATTCTTAAATTCATTGGGTATAAGTAGTATAAAGGTTCTACAGATATATCCTTGTATTAGGGTAGATAGGGTTAATGGGTGTCGCCTAATACACAAGCTAAAATTAAAAAAATCTTTCTTGTAACCGCCTAATAAAAACTTGATTAGTTATTATTGGAGATCAGTAATAATCACAATAATCATCATTTTTAGGAAATTTAAAAGTTTAAAAATACTGTTTTGCAGCGAGTCATTGCTCTTTACTCTCCTGTGTTCCCTTTTCCGGCACTTTCGTCTTTTTTCCTTGCATTAGTGTAGATGTTAAAATTGTTGCATGCCGCTTACAAGAAGTACCTTGTCTTGCGTTTCTCTGGTAACTTAATTAGCTTCGACACAAAATAGAGACTAGAGGCTGTGTAATGTGCTAGAAACTGGTGAACATATCGGGCCAGGTCCTATTGAAAAGAACTATACTTAATACTTATTTTTTATCTTTCGTCGGTAAAATGTAGGTACATCGGCGAGCTGCAATAACAAAAAACACACCTCGGTCTCTAAGCTGCCGACGAACTGAGTTTATGTCGGTTATTGTAGATAAGTGAGTGACCACCATTACCCGCTAACTGAATGACCCTCAACTTGAACTAATCTTGCAATAACAAAACGTAGTTCTTGTCAACTGTCAAGTTACTGTTAACGTCAGTCGGTTTGAAGCAACTAGGGGTGTGTAGTATATACTTTATTTTATTCGATTCGTGTTTGAATCGATTAAATTGATAATAGTTAAGGAGTTTTTTTTATCACTCATTTAAAAGTAACGTTAAGAAAAAGTAAAGTACCTACAGCAAATTGTTTTTCTCTCAAAATTATTGACTGTAAACTAATTTCTTTCATTAGATAACAATTACTGTAAAGCTTTATTAAAAAACACAACTATCCATAGGAACTAATAAGTTCAAGGATATTTTGGGAAAAGGCTTGGGGATGTGCAGTTATTTTACACAAATTGTGTTATGAATACCATGCCACATTATCTACTAATAATCAGAACTTTTCAGGAAACTTAAAAAAAAAAACCAAATCTGTCCACAAATAAATTATTTGAATTTCAATCTCACTTTCGACTAAGGAGGCAGTCTGATAAGAACATGATAAGAACGTAATTAATCCACATGTGTACCTATTTCAATTAAGTGATAACATCTTAATACGCTATTAAACTGCTATAAATTGAATTTATGATCTATAGTCATGATTATATAGATCTAGGTTGCTAGAAAACTTATTTATCGATGAATACATGTGCATTTTTGAGGACGGACGCGAATCGATTTGTTACTTTAATCGATTCATGATGAGTCGAGTAAATATCTGTGTAATATAGTAAGTTGACAGCCCATTCTTAAAACTTATAATAATAGTGATAGGTACTAGTACAAGTCTACAAGTAGTACATAACTGTTAATCAAGCAGTCAGGTCACTCACTGATCTGCGGCCAGTCATGTTGCAGCCGTCGCTGGCTTTGTGCGGTGGGTCGATTAGTTAGTTAGTCGGGTTCTCGACTCACGACAGTCGCTTCGAGACAGTGGAGTGCAGTGCGCCACGTTAAAACCGAGTGAGTCCGCAGCGCTCATGAGAGCCGGGACTGCAGCCGCCGCCCGCCAGACGCCGCGCGGCTGCCCCAGCCTGCAGCGCCAGGTTGCGCTCCGAATCGGCCGAGCCTAGTGCATCACACGCCACTTGCATGCATGGTAAGTGTTTGTATGCGGATTCTGTTGCAAACAGTAGTCTGTTTACGTGATGTCAGACTCGTTCAGGTAACTGCCTCTAACAAATTGCAGACTGTATGTAAAGATGCTGTTGCTGTTACCATGACCTGTGTTCGAGGTCAAGCGAATGTTTTTTGTGAGTCGCGCTAATTAAAACTGACGCCGAGGTTTGTAAGCAGTGATGAGCAAATAGTCGTGAGATGTTACATTGGAGTTGGAGTAAAGCAACCACAGTGTTGTAACTGCTTGTTTACACAACTCCTACATTCTAAGCAGGCAATTACAATCATTAATCAATAAATACTACATTCACCAGTGACCTCTTTGTTTGGTTCAGTCAACAATGTTATACATGTGCGTGTTACATCAGTCAGAAGCAACGCTTGACTTGTTTGTAGGCAAGCATTGTCTAAGCTGGACACGGGTGACTAGTGGTGACTCATGCGCGGAGTTAGCCCTAGAGGGTTACACAAACACATGCATGTGCATTGTGTAGCAATGGTTGTGTGCGTGGCCAGCAACAAGTGTAGTGTAGCTGTACATAGCTGGCCAATTTGTGCTGCACATGAACAAAGCACAGCTGTGTGCAGCATGTACTGTGTCCACTCCAGCTATGTCCAGCTGTGGGACCAACTCTCACCCTACATAACTGTACAGATTGTGTGCCTGGGATGGCACACATGCCCACACCACACCACAACAAACACCTATGCCACACTGCAATAAAATGATGATAACATTTTTCTTAGTTTATTTATTTATTCTTAGAAAAGCTTATAGACTAATGTTACTTTAAACAACTTAGTTACAAGCTACTACTTTGAAATGATTGTATATAAAATAACTTACTATCAATAACTAACTTGTTAACATCAAACAATGATGTTGACTACTACTTGTTTTGTTTCATAGGTTGAAATGAATAGCAAGAGCATGGAAGTGATGAAGGTTGGGGAAGGTTCAGTGGGGGACCAGAGCGCTGCATACATTTATTTATTGTGCTCATGACCATCATTTCTGGGCTTCAGCTATCTGTTTTATAATGACTAAAGGAGCCGTGTTAATACACTTCAAATTATTGTTCAATGTAGCATTTGTTTGGGTTTGTGA